CGCCTTTGCAATGTCCTTGGAGCCACTAGTTTCATACTGGTTCCAATGGTAGCATAGTGTGCGGAAGAAATACGGTCTTAAGATGATGTATTTTTCCGAAAATAGCCGGACAGCAGGACACTTTGCAATCCAGCGCTGCTTCAGTCGTCATACTAGCCAACTACGACATATACGGCAGGCTATTATCAATCTCCGAATTCATGTAACCCCTAACGTCGCCAACAGTGGTCAGTCACATATAATCAGAGAAGTACATCCAAATGTCGACTATGAGACTGTACTGTCTAGTGGAGTATTTTATGCGAAAGATCAAAGTCTCCTGAATATTTTGGTCATACCTGGATATAAAAGAACAAGCTAGAGATGACAGCGAGTGGTTTTAACCAGCGAACAAATCGAGTCGAAAAACAAGCTGCTAAAAGACCAGAGAATCTCGTTTGCGACTTGTAGCAAAAGGCTATTGGTAGGTTTTGGTCTATTCCGCACGTACACCGTTGCAGATGAGCAAGCAGAAGAGTGTAGGTCTGGAGGTGACCATGAGAATCTCGAGGAGGGAGCAGGGGGATAAAAGCTCAATTAAATGACTCAGGAAGAAAACAGTGTGATTACAGCTGGTGATAAAATGTGGTTGACGGGTGGTGTTAGGCCACAACGAAGAAATAGAGATGGCTGGAAGCCGAAACCAGAAAGTGGATCATTAAGGTTTCAGAAGCGTTGCGGACCAAACCGAAACCAGGTCTGTGGCTACACTGCATGTAGAAGCAGGTCACTGCTCTAACGCGAAGTGGTTTCCACAAACAATATGCATCTTGTGGAAGATAAATCTAATACCTACAAAAGAAATGGGAATAAACGGCCTCGATTCAATAGCCCTAAGGAATAGTGGATAGGGCCTTCCCTTGATTCTGCTTAAGTCGTTCACTCTTGCAATGGAAACTGGTACGTATCCAACTGAAAAGAAAACTGGCTTTGTATTTCCACACTACAAATTTGTGGACGAGGCTAATGTCAACAGCTACAGACACATCAGTATAACCCCAGTCCCATCGCGAATTATGGAGAAAGTTGTAAAAGACAGTATGTCTGAATACCCACTTGCAGAAGATTTTATAACAAAGTCTCAGCACGCCTTTGTGAGGAACGGATCATGCATTACATGTCATTTTGACTTTTCCAACCTCATTACCAGTAGCCGTGAGGCACACAAGGCAGTCCTTGTACTGTGCTTCGATATATCGAAGGCATTAGATATGGTTTTGCATAATATACCATTCAAAAAGCTAAGCACATTAAGTATTGGCAACCCTGTGCTAAGCTGGCTAAAATCATTTCTCACTGATCGCACCCAAATAACGAAAATCAATTCAGCTCTGTCTATTACAAAGTGCATCACAGGTGGAGTTGTGGAAGGTTGCGTTCTCGGGCCTCTTTTGTTTATTGTCTACGTTAGCGGTGTTTGCAACTGCTTTGCCACAGGTGACGTCTTTCGATATGCCAACGACCTTAAAGTCGTTTACTCTTGTTATAGCCATGAGCTAGGTGACACTACGACTGCTATTCTACATGGACTAGAAAAGCATTTCTTCATGGTGTGCTGATACCCTTCTACAGTTCAACATCGGCAAATGTGGATGGATCTGCATTGATAACAGTAACCTTGACTTGATATTTGAAGTGTCTGGACAACAGTTACCAAAACTTAGTTCTGTCTCAGACCTAGGGCTCAGATATTCCAGTGACTTAACATTCTCTGAGCAGGCAGAGTACAGCGAAACTAAGTCAAGCAGACTCCTAGGATGCATCATTCTCAACTTTTGTGGCGCTGGATCAAGGGTATTACTCTACAAAGTGAGCATCCGTCCAATTCTAGAATACTGCTCATTGTCATAAGCAGCTTTCGAATAGACGATAAACTAAAAATCGAAGGGGTACAATACCATCTTACATTAAGGACACTAGGAGCTGACTGCAGCCTTGACCACATATCCAGATGCAACATACTAGGACTAGAACCTCTCTGGATGAGGCCACCTAGAGTGAATCATGTATTTTATTATAAACCACTTTGTGAGCAAATGTACCCAGGTGGCCCAGAAATTAAAATAGTTGTAACGTCTACTTACAATATATTTAATCACAAACTGTTCGCTAAAACCAAGTGATGTAAGACAAACGAGAGAGGTAACTTCCTCCTCAGTATGTTCTCTCACATCTGGAATAGACTTCCTGAAGAGGTACGTACTACAGGTTCATTATCTCCCTTTCGCTCCTCACTCAATAAGGTTCCCATAGAGGATGAGTCTGTCACTCACTTGGTCACCATGTAAACGTTCTGGGCTAATGAAAACATACTAGGACCCCGAAGCGTGTAAAGTGAGCCTATCACCAACCCCAGGTACTTTCGTCCTAATGGACCGATACATTATTGCACAGGGCGTTTGACTGCTATTCCACCAGCTTAGATTGTGTAGTCAGTAAAGCAAACATTGGTAAAGTCTGCACCACCTAAATGTCTACCAGTTTTCCCGTGCGTCTACAAACAAACACGGCATACCTAAAAACTTGTACTAACTTTACTCAAGAAAATCATATGAGTTAATTCCACATGCATAAATTAAAGTGTACATATATCTCGAGTATCTCTAAGAAAACAGGAATTTCCCCCTTTTAACTTCTTCTTGTGTGGCACATCACTCTCCGGTCTCTGCTCGTGCTTTCCTTTTCTCCTTGTCCTTTCAGCTAAAGTTTGAAGAGAAAATCTTGAGCCTAAGTTTGACCAAAAATGTCAACTAACTGAACGTACTACGCCGAACGTCATGTCAGAAATTACTGAAAGATTTCTTCAACTGATTTCCAACTTTCTGAGACGTTCCACGGCAAGGCCACCCAGTTACCAACATCCTAGACGCTACCATATACGAAAACACCACTACAATAACTGGTCTAGGGCTTCCGGACGGTCATAATGGCAGCGAAAAGTTGGGCAAACATCCAAATCCAAGAAATGAACTCGCTCAGTGACTCAAAGTGAGACATGCTCGCAACTAGACCGAAGCAACAAACGTCTCCAGTACTTTGTCTCATTTGATTGAGTCTGGTAGAGGGCAATTAACGGTCAACATACCTCCTCGGTAATGCCGCCTGCCCCAATGTGAATTATATGTTCAAAACTCCATTACTACTGGTTAGTAATCCTTCAAATGTTTGTTTCTTTTTACCGCAACAACTAATTCTGATGGCACACATCTCAACTGTTGTGTAAGGTATCAAGACGTCTGGGAAATGCGCGGGCTTATATATTAACGTGGATTATATGATTATGCTAACAATTACTGTTACCTGAAATGGATGAATTGAGTTTTTGTTGGCTGACGATACTATAAACATGTGGACTGATGCTAAAATAGGCGTTTATCTGGCGATACACAAGACCACACCGCCAGGTTAACCATCTCCGTCACGTGTAACTGAAACGTCGAGTATTGCAGGATTTTGGTGTCACTTTATTGTGAAAAAAGAATGATGGGCGGAGATGACCGAAACTAATAAGCAATCTGTCGGCATGTGAAGCGATATTTTTCTGTTCTTTCCATAACCTGCAGCCACTAATAATATTATGATAAACCTTGGTGTTCTCCCTTCTGTATCTTTCGGGACAGCTCAGCTAATGTAGATTTATCCACCATTATCAATTTCATGGTGCCCGCAAACTTGCTTCTCTCATGTCAAACTTTTAATTTGAGGATAAAACATTTAGTTATTTATTATCCCTGGCCACTGTTTGTAAAACCCTGGCCACGAACCCAGACCTATCTCATAGGACATCCATGTTGAAAAAGGTATACGACTATCGCAGGCACACAAAAGTAATGGGCTGCAAGTCCATTGTATACCAGGGAACACAGTAGGCCCAAACCTAAAAGATTTAAAATTTACTTAACTATCTTGTGGTTCCAAGAACAAAAGTAATTAGCATGAACGAAACTTTCGACCACCAAACACACACAAAATGGTAGAACGCAACTAAAGATTTCGTATTCAGCCTCACAAGGATGCAGCAATCTCATTTTCTAACGCTTACAACCATCTGGATCCTGGAACACAACACGAAGGTGCCAAGAAGTTGAATGCCAGTGATGGATGCCTACACACTAAAACCGGACTGACAAGTCTATGGACACACGCTGATGCTGTACAAGACTGTTCGGTTAGTATTTATACAGCTTAAGTGTCTATTTATTGATTTCGGACCAGGGAGTATTTGGAGCTGAGGATGTGCACCACAAGCAGATGGCATGGATAGGCGACTGGAAAATACCAGTGATGACATTTATTTACGTATGAAAGACTGACTGGTATCAACTTCAAGTGAGGATCATTCGCCGGATCTTCCTAGTTAAACTGTTCCTCCTGGAGGTACTCTTATTTCTAACACGATAGGGCTAAGTCGCCTTCTGGTGACGCGGTAACTGAATATTCACTCTGGGCCACAATCACAGGACAAGTAGTACATCTCCCCACCAAAACCCAACGTGAGGGTTTATTTGAGCTACAGAAGGTGAGCACATGGACTGGGGCCCACTAAACAACTGGAACCCTTCCGCTTATCCTAGAAGGCAGTATGAAGAAACCAGCTTGTTCATCTAGGCTTGCAAAACAGGTGCTTGAAATAGGATCCAGTTCAGCTTTGACACAGTGTTCTCCTGTTCAACCTTTCTTCACAACTTCTGGTCAACAACTTCTTTTCCTCTTAACCACCAGTGAAATGATCTTTTTCAGACACTCAAGATTGCAACAATCTCATCAGTCTTTCCAATAGCTGCTCGCCTTCACCAAATTACCGCGACAAATATAACCTTTGTCTTCTGATCTGTTCTCACTAACAGAGAACATACTTCCACTTTAAATGGAGGATGGAAGACAGATAAAAGGATCCAAAACAATATGTATATTGTGGAGTTTGAAGACTTTCCGTTTTTAATGCTTTTCAGGTTACCATTGAATACAGAACGCACGATCGACGCGGTCAGCTTGGTCCTTCGACGTGACCTGTGGGATTAACAATGTTGTTGTCGTTTCTGCGTTCTCAGTTAGATATCCCATTGTATTGCCTATGGCTTATTGCCACACTGCTTTTATGCAATCTAAACAGTGTTTGTGGTGCTGATACGGATGATGATTTTGCTGAGTTTCAGGATCCAGATGATTGTAAGCGTTAGAAAATGAGGTTTTTGCATCCTTGTGAAGCTGAGTATGAAATCTTTAGTTGCTTTCTACTGTTTCATGTGTGTTTGGCGTTTGAAAGTCTCGCGCATGCTAATTACTTTTGTGAGTAAGACTCCCACCCAACATGAGCTCAAATTAATGGCCTTTTCTGTTACTTCATTGGTCTCCTTTTTGTAAAAAAGCACAGTTCTGACCTTCTATTTATAATTGCTGGCCGTCATACGTTGAAGACTGGATAGCGTCAAGGAGGTTTGTGGACAAAGTTCCTTAACGAAAATGGCTTGTTTCTTTATGTGCTAAGTGCTAGTTGATGTTTCCTCAAATCCTGAAAGTTAGAAAAGCTGCAGTGTTAGCTGAGTAGAAGAACCTCTATCAAATATCCGACTTTATTCCTGCCACAAGTTTACAAACGTCCCCCCAGTGTCAATTTCGTGTAGAGGTGTTTTGAAGGTACTGAATAATTTCGCCTTTAAAGTTTATGTCAGGTAGTACAGTAGTTTTTTTATATGGAAAACTTCTCTGAGGTGGGATCACACTTTTAATGAATGCAGACGAGGTTCACAATGTTACTGAACTTGGAGAGACCGGCTGATTACTTCAGTTACCCTCACAGCTGCTTCTTAAATCAGCAGTCGTATGAGTCCAACTACAGACATGGATAAGCCAACCGCGTCTGATCAAAACTTCAGATGCCTTCAGAATTTTCTGAAAGATGAAGCAGCGGTTTTCAGAAGCCAACATCAGGATTAAATTTTGCAAATTTGAGCTTAGGTTCATCTTGGTATACAAGGCAAGGAGAAAGCACCCACTGAATTAGTGTAGTTCTTCAACAATAGGTATGAGGAGTATGTATTTTCGTTTGACTTGCCAAACTTTGCTCAAGATATCCTTTTATTTTCTAATCAAGAGTTTAATTTGGGGAGGGGCTTTGTGGGGTTTTGTTGATTTTTGAAGTTGGCATTCTTCATGAACTGACATTAATTGGCGGAACTTTAGAAACACACAAACACTGGAAGGCTGTTTCGTCCTAGCATGGGACTCTTCAGCAGTGCGCATCCATGCCCCTGCTAGGTCTTGGCTTGGACCTAGAACTTCCAGGTTCCGTGGTCAGCATGTTACCAGTGAACCACTGGGCCGGAATCGAATAGTCCATGTTCCCAACATAGCGCGACTTTTCACCCAATGTCACTGTTGAACATTTGTTCTCATGGCCACTAGGTTTGCCCCACCGGTCACGACTTCTCATTGGAACTTCAGGAACCGCTTCTGGGAGGTAGTCACCGACGAACATTAGATCAGTTGAATATAGGGGTTTGTGGGGACTTAGTAAGGAGTCCCATACTAGAACGAAACAGCTGTCAAGTGCTCTTAGCTTCCCAATGTTCCTCCAACTGATGTCGGTCCATGATAAATACCAACTTGAAAGTCTGCAAACCCCCAGATTCAATTTATCTAGTACTTGTTAGTGACTAGCTTCGAGAGATGATTACTAAAGTCGCAATGGAAAGTGACCAGTGAGGCAAACCTAGTGGTCGTGAGGACATACTCAAGAATGACAGTGGGTGGTGGTCGCGGTTTGTCATGAATTGACATGCTGGAAACATGAGCCATTGAATTGCGAACCAGTGGCTCAATGGTAATGTGCTAGTCACGGGACCTAGGGGTGCTGGGTTCGATCCCTGGCAGTGCGGGGCGGGACCATGGGTGCGCACTGTTGGGGAGTCCCATGCCAGTACGAAACAGCTAGTTGTCCAGTGTTCTCAGGTTTCCAGTATTCTTGCAACTGATGTCAGTCCATTATGAGTACCAACTTGAAAAATAACAAAGGGTTATCATCCTGACGGACGACACCCAGTATTGTCTATTAGTTTGACCTAAATATATATCCACCTGAGTTGGTGTGAATTTGACATGTTATCTTAGTCCCATGTTTAATATATATTAGACAAATCACCGTAGAACCTCGTGCACACAGGTGCATCGGTTCAAGTTGTCTAAGATACAAAGAACAAGTAAATCGAGAAAGTGATAACAAAGAAGAAAGTTGTGTGTGGGAATAAGCAATTTGAAGGTAACGGGTTGGTGTGAATATTCAAGTTTTAGAAGACCTCAAAGAGTAAATATATCTGCGACATTGACTGATTTTCAGCCATTTCATCGAGTCCTCAACCACTGATTCCTTTCGTTTCAGGGACCCCAACCAGGCAGTCTATGTGTCATTACACTGCTAGGACCAACAATCAGATATTTCATTTAGTAGCTATCCATACAAGGTACATGCCTACATTGTAGTTCAGTTTCAGTAACTTTCACTATCATCCAAACTTGCTAACGGGGTTCACGTTCTTTTGAACCTTGTTGAGCTGTGGCTCATTGGTCTGAGATGATTATCAATCAATGGGTCACGGAGTTTGGCAGTCAGTATCACTAGCCCTTATGGTAGAATGGGTTCCTTGCTTACCACACATGCGTGCACTTCATTTTATTCACTAAGTTATGATATTCCGTTGTTCAGGCTGACAGGTGGGAACGAGGCACGCAATCTATTGGTTAGAAGTTAGGTACGTAAACTGATGAGTCCTGACTACATCAGATACAAGATACCCCAATGGTATACATCATCATTAAGACCAACATAAGCCCAGGCATTACTGCATAACAGTCCAACTTGCTACATCTCACATCAGGACATCAAATAGGAAGGCAATAAATAAAGATGAAGAAAAATCGGTCAAACGAAGTAGAAGTAGTAAGTAGTAAAACAAAAGAAGGAAGTATTAGGTGTTGAGACTAAGTAAAGTGGTTAACATAAGGATCATGTGTGTATGCATCTGCGCCACTGGCTTCCGTTCTAAGCGATATCACCCAGAGTCTCCAACCATTGGTTTCTCTTCCGCAGACCCTAACCGGCTGGTCTACATCGCCCTACATGGCTCAAACGAACAGTGAAGGACTTCATGCGTCTATGTCATGTTTAGCCTGGCCACCTCTAACCTTTTTGCATCTCGAACCTACTTTGACCAATGTGCTACGGGGCAGATGGTGTAAGTTTGCTAAAGCCAACCGAACCTTTTGTATTCATGCAGAGATCTTGTCGGTCTTTGACCGGCGCACCAAAGCCGATCTGACTTTCCAGGTAAGTGGTGTTCAAGGCATTCAACCACTTCCCTCTGCATTGTTAGCTGGCGCACCGTTAAAGACCAGTCCTGGGGCAATAATTTGCATTTGAGTGGCGAAAAACTCATCCCAAACATTCCCAAATTGCCACTCAAGGTGTTCATAAGACTCAGCATCTTCATTTAACAGGACTGTGTCATCTGCGTTTTCCAAGTTTACCAAAATTTCTCATGTGATTAGATCAATTCATGTGTAGTCAGGTGTCGAGACGGAGACCTCCATAAGAACGTCTGATAAAATTAAATAGGAGTGGAGATTGGTCATCCTTGGCGGACACCACTCAACGTGTACAGCTAACCCGACATCTCACCACAGGCTCTAATACACTCACGAGTGTTCGAGTAAAGAACCTTCAATGAAGTAATATATTTACTCAGTACTGCTTTCAGTTAGAAACATTACCATAAGATTTCTCGATGAACGGAGTCAATCACCACTTTCATGTAGAGCAATACAGCTATTTTTGGGCTTTGGTCAGCGTGTCTATGCTTCAGAAGCTGGCGGAGTGTGAATATTTGTTCGACACCCACGACAGTGTGTGAAGCCTGCTTGGTTTCTGGGGCTTGCTGTTTTGGAGCCCCACTCAAGCGTCTAGTGATTATGAAACCTAGAATACTTGACACCATGTTCGTCAGACTGATTTGTCTGTGGTTATCACAAGTATACATCAGTACACTTCAAAAATAACTGGTTAATTGGTTGACTACCTCGGCGACATTTTCGTGGAGCTTTTGTTAATTCAGATGATCAGCATGTAGCAAGCATCCTAACAGTTATTATCTTGGTCCACTTAAAGGCGGGCACCATAATAATTTCTGTCTCAGGTGATAAGTCGTATCCAAACCTCTTAGGAGTTGTATAGACCTGTCATATCTGTTAATGCCAAGATTTCTCCATATAAATATCAACCACCTAATGTCCTGTGACATGCTTTTGTCACTGACAATGGGATAAAATAACAAAAACTAAGGGGAAGAAAAAGTGTTGTTTGTAGGGTCCGAAATGAAGATACGTAACTGACCGATCTTAAACCAGAGGTTATAACATGTCATACCATCGATTTCTGATGTCTTGTACACTTCAACGGGAGACTTACTTAGATCAACAATCAGCGACCTGATGGATTGAGACCATCTCTTCTTCTCGCCAGTCAACTTTCTCCCAATCGAATCCTGTATTTTTTACTGTAAGAAACGACTGTCTACCTGTAAGAAACATAGTTTACGTAACGGGACTAGTGACTGATTAAATGGGTTAGTAGTGTTCCGTTTCTACTGCATGTACTCTGCTCTAGTTGTTATTATCCAGTAATTCGTTGCAAATCAGCTACACTGTACAGGTTTAATGTGCTGAAATATGTTCTTTAAAAGTTGATGATACCACCTAATTGTTCAGAGTAAAGTAGGTTAGTTGCAGTTTCATACTGAAAGTTGCTGGATCAAAGTCAAGGGTATTAATCCTATGAATTGTCTACCGGGTTTCTTGGTTCGTTGATTTACTGGCCATTTGACTGAATCAATCCAGAAGTAGATGCTACAAGCAAGAGAGGCGAAGGTGAATGCAAATATTTCGATTACTTTAGGTGTTGAGTTAAGCTATGGCTCATTGGTCTATGTAATTAACTTTCAATGCAAGAGAAAAGGCATTTGCAAAATAAACTATGAGCTCATTTTATTTCATAGCCTTTCATCAGCTGCATAAAACCTGCAACTGAAATGATGCATTAGTAGTAATAATAACATGAAATACGTTAAACATGAAGGAATAAACGATCAACAGTAGAGTAGTGAATCGAGGAAACATAAGTTTAAAAATCACAAACCTTAGTTAAAATCAATGGTAATTTACGTCTGATAAAAAGTCCTGAAGCTGTTAAAAGAGGGGGACAACAAACAGAAAAGTGTAAAACAAGGACCTGTTAAAGAGCCAGTAGATTAAGTAATTACATGAAAAAACTGGAAAAACATCAGGTTGAGTGGTTGGCAGTCAATAAGTAATTAATAAAGAGATGACTCAGTCAAAAAATTACACACAGTGGGGTAATTACAGTCTCCTTTTAAATACACAAGTCACATTGAAAATGTTCGGTGGTGACATTTACTGCAAACCTTAACAAACATGGCATTCTTTGTGTGATACTGAAGTTTTGAGAAACATCTATTTTATGTCCCTTTTCTATCAGGTACCCAGCGATAACGGTGGTCAAGACATTATTACCATTCAGACAGATTTCTCGGGATATGCTCAAAAAGAGCAGATGCCCTTCTTTCGGTCCTTCCTATATGCTTACTGTCATAAGCTCAGTTGAATTAATATACACAGTTAGACGTGATGTGATGGATATTTGACTACTTTCGACTGCGTTATTGAGCATACTTTATCATGAAGTGAGATCAGTCTGGGTTGAAGAAAGCTCCTTCTCAGTGTCACTTTTTATTCTTTTGTCTATTTCAGATATCTAATCACCTTTGAATTCTAACAGAAGAAAAACAAGTTTCTTCTCAATAGTTGGGTGTTTTGGTCTCAGTAAATTCTTTTTCACGCTTGATGATGAATTTCTTTGAATATCCATTCTCTATAAAAGCCTTTTCAATGATACCAAATTCTTCTTGTTTATCTTTTGAGGATAGGCTTATTCTATTGAAAAGCGTCTTGACTAAACTTTCAACCAATGGATCAAGGGTTCGAACTCCTCTCCACCTACCGACGTTTGGACAGCCAGGTAGTGGTGGTACCATTTGTCCTTACGGACAATAGGTGTAGCTCATTGTCTACTGCGCGAACGTGCACAAGGTTAATGAGCATATTTCAAGTTATTTTGGTTTCAATTTAGGTGTTGAGAGTCGTTCTGTGATATAGCTTGTTGATAAGGTGTCTGACTTCACTACAGAGAAATACAGGCCTTAATGTTGAAGGTGGCTGAGTTCTTTTCGAGTTTCCAGGTATATCTTGCCAATGTGTTCTAACAATCATGTAACATAAATCCAGGGTTTGTTACTCAATGTGTTGCTCAGCTTTTTTGGTCACATAGTCGTCTTGGTTAATAAACTTTAATAAACACATGTAACTTGACAGCTACATCGGTTATCGTTTGTTGACCATTTTGTGTATTCTAGTTGTTTGTTAAAACTGTGATCTCATAATCTGTTTTCCAATATTCATTCATTCACAACATGCATTTCATGTATTACTATCTTTCATCTTTTAGCTTTTACTATTGATATCACTGAACCCGTTCCTATTCAGTCTGTTCGGCAACAGAAAGCCGAAAGTATAGATAAAAACATTTCAGAAAGTAGCTCCCATGCAAGCTCAGAAATCGACAGTGATGATGGCTCAACGTTACACGCAACCAAACCATCTTCATTTGACAGAACCACTCTAGAAGATAGTGAATTAGAAGTAGAGGTATGTTTCATCATGATAAAATCAGTAATATTTTAAATCTCAAGGAAACCATGTGAGATCTATTTTGTTTTTGACCGTTTATAACCACCAGTATACACAAATTACTAGGGTGATATTGATTACGAGTTGTAGTCTTGGTGTTACCCCCTACTAGCGTAGCACATAGATATTAATAACGTTAGGGTTATGTGACACCTAACTGGAGCTCGTAAACAGCAAACTCAAGAAAACCAGGCAGGTTGTTGACCTGGTCGAGGGTGTATCAATCGGATTTTCATCCTCCGACATTTTCTGGAGCACAAGCATGCCTGCCGATCAGTCGCCGAAACTTATATCTCTTGACTTGGAAGCGGTATTTCACTAAGTCTACCACGAGGTGTTGTGGAGGTGTCTAACTGTGAAGGGAGTACGCAGCAAATATATAGTGTTTATCTAAGCTCATGCAGCCGTGTCAGAGCTTATGGAGAGCTGTCAAGTAAGCTGACAACATCTAGTGGTGTCCGACAGGGATGTCCACTGTCACCGTTCCTACTCAACTTCGATAAAGACGTACTATTGGATATAACCTTAAGTACTTCTGACTTCACAGGGATTGACCTTATCCCCTAAAATCACCTAGTTGACTTGGAATATACAGACGATATTGTCCTGTTTCTAGGTGATGACGCTGACAAAATACAGGGTCTTCTGGGCGTGTTCAACAGAAATCTCAGTATGTTTGGCATGCGCCGCGGTAGGACCTGTGAAATGTAAGATGATGCTCCAGGACTAGTGTACGATGACTCCCAGTTTAATGATAGGGAGCTAAATGGTAGCATCTATCAACCAGTTTACTTATGAAGTTGCATCAGCCCGAAGTGGACTGCCTGCTGACGAAATCTCAGCTCAGATACAGAAGGCTCGTTTGGAACCTACCAACTTGCGATACCCGTGGCGTCGGCGAAATATCCGACTATCAAGAAATGGTTTTATTGTACTACAGTGAGTTCTGTCCTGTTGTACGACCGAGACAATCGTCAAAAGTAGGAGACACGATGTGATACTGGGCTTCGATCACAGGTGTCTTCGTAGCATTGGCTGCGTAAGTAGTGGAATCACCGAGTGAGCACTGTTGAGGTCAGGCGAAAGATACTAGGGGAGACAGGCAAGTTAATTGATAAAGTTGTGAAGCTCAGTCGACTGAAATGGTTTGGACATGTGTTGCACATACCGAGCCACCGCCTACCTCAATGTGACATGTTAAGGAGAGTTGGATTAGGATGGAAAAGGGTTCAGGGTGGTCAAACCAAGATGTAGCATCAGTCGATGAAGCCCCTAACTGTTGGTTTAAGTCTTATGGGGAGATATAATCTGCCTGGTTGGGGTCCCTGAGATGAAAGGAATCTGTGGTTGAGAACACTTGGTGACATAGCTGAAAATCGGTCACAATGGCACAGATGTATTCACTCCTTGACATCGTCTAAAGCCTGAATATTCACACTAATCTCTATCTACTTTGATATGACTTGTTTTCTATCCACCTTTTATTTGTGTGAAGTCGGGCAGCTTGTGGTGATGCACTCCTATACGAGGTCCCACGTTGATTTTATCAGTCAGTCAGTCAGTCGGTCGGTCAGTCTCAATCAATATCGACATAGGACCAGGCACTACTGCCTCACGGTCCAACCTGCCACAGCTCATATCAGTACATCAAGTAGAAAGGTAGTGAGGTGAAGGATGAAGATAAGAGAATGCAGTCAAAAGAAATATAAAGTACGGGAAGAAAGAAAGGCAGAGTGACAAAATGATGAGATTCGGTATAGTGTCGTTAAGATGAGGATAATGTGTGTATACATCTACGCCACTGACATCGGTTCTGAGCCATATCCCCTAGAGTCTCCAACCACTGTTGGTTCCGCTTGTCCCGTGGACCCCAACCGCCTAGTCTGCATTTCCCCATATGGCTCAAACCAACAGTCAGAGACTTCATACATTGGTGCCATGCTTTAGTCTGTCCACCTCGGGCCTTTTTCAATCCTAAGCCTACTTCAGCCAACATTGTGTGACGAGGCAATCGGTGACTAGGCATACTTAGTACGTGTCCCAACCATCTTAGTCGATGAAGGTTTATAACCTCGTCTGCTGATTTACCCCTGCTCCCCAAAACTCTACACCTAACTTCTGCATTACTCACATGGTGACACCACGGAATACGTCCTATACTACGAAGGCAATGGTGGTCAAACACTTGAAGCCTTCTTATATCTTCCACTTTCAATGGCCATGTTTCATAGCCATACAGTAGAACAGACCTGACTGCTGTGCAGTACACGCGACCCTTAATAGACAAACGGATATCACGGCGGTGCCATAGGTGGCGTTAAGTTTCATAGTCTTCACAATTATTACTTCTTATGAGGCCAGTATGCATAGACAAATAAACAGTAGAAATTCCAGTACTTGCCTTTCACAATGGTTTGCAAATGTGATGAAAGTTAACATTGATTGAGTGTAACATACAATACGGTTGTATGTTATGGAATGAGCTTTCATCTTATTGTAGTTCAGGCATATTATGTCGCTTAGAAAAATGTGATATCACGCTCAGTGGTTGGTTTGAGTGTTCATTGAGGTCAATATCTCCACTTTTCTCTTCATTTACTCTTTACATGTTACAGACAGACAGACAGAAAAAATCAACATAGAACCTCGTATACAAGCCCATTGGTTCAGGTTGTTACACTACACAGTAGAATAAAAAGAACATATATGCTCTTCTGTATACTAGTGTGAAGTGTAGCAACTAGTATGCAAAGAAAATTGTTGAGCTGTGGCTCGCTGGTTCGGGGAGATTGCTATCAACCACTGAGTCACGAGTTCAAACCCCGCTCTACCGACCGACGTAGTTTGGGCAGCCAGGTAGTATCACTAACCCTCACACAGTAGCTATAGCTCATTGCCTAGTGCACTGATGTCCACAAGGTGGCTGAGTGCTTATTCTTTCTTACAAAGAACAAACTGTTATGAATGCCGATAACTTTTACATTCTACACTTACAGTTTTGTATATATTTGAACTACTTATTCTCTCTCTTTTCCCGTGCATGGACCATATTTCGAATGACCTGCTATTGTTCTGATTGGTCCCTACCTCTTTAAATGTACTGATGATTTCTTGTCTTTCAAGGTTGCTGTAAACTCTATAAATAGGGTCAGTTCTCACTCATAAACGCTTCAGTTCGAGATATTATAAAGTCATCTGGTTTCCAGTCTTTTGATTTCTCTTTGTGAATCACTCGGGTTGGATCGTCTCAATCGTCGACTACCAATCGTTAAGTATTTCTGTTCGTTCTCATAACTCCGCACCATAGCAAGCAAATAGATAGAAAAAGTGTGATACCAAAGTAGACAAAATTGTTGAGAGAATAAACTGTCTGAAGATGTCAAGGGTTTAATACATCTGCGTCACTGTGACGGATTTTCAACCGTATCTCCAAGAGTCCTCAATCACGGATTTCTATCTTCTAGGGGACCTCAGCCAGGCAGCTTACAACTCCTAACACGACTCATACCAAATGTCAGAGACTTCATTGATTAGTGTCATGTCTTGGTCTGGCCACTCTGGACCCTCTTCAAACCTAATCCAACTTCCCTTAACATGTCACATCTAGGTAGGCGGTGGCTCGGTATGCGCTGTACATGTCCAAGCCATCTCAGCCGATGAAGGTTAGCAACCTCATCGGTAGAGTTGCATGTCTTCCCTAGTACCCTTCGCCTGACCTTAACATTGAAGCCACGGTGATTCCACTGTGCATCAGGGATGCTACTAAGTCACCTGCGATCAAAAACCTGCAATCGCTACATGTCTACTTCTAACGATCATGTTTTTAGCCGTATAACTGCATGACACAAGTTGGCGATTACCAAAGGCTTTTTGTATCGGAGCTGAGATTTCGTCAATAACCAGTACGTTAGGGCTGGTGCCACCCTCGAAGTTAGTGAAGTGGTCAACGCATTTTGCCACTTTACACTCCCCATCCTTAAACTCTAAGTGGTTATGGACCAGTCCTGAGTCATCATCTTACATCTGACAATCACGAAACGTATTCCAGATTCATGTTCAAATAAGCTACATCATCACAACACACACCTAGTCAAGTGAAATTAAAATGTGTATACACTTATTCTAGTGTCCATCACCCATTGAAAATTTGAATTATCAACTTCAGTTTTGTCAATTTTGATCGAATATTTTTACTCATGGTTTTTACATTGTTTTTTTTGTTGGTGTTATTAATTTTCAAGTTAGATAATGTGAACCCCGACGATGATGAAGAATTTGAAGGTCTATCATCTGATCAACCGATCCTGAATGCTGATAAGAATAACAAAGGTGGCAAGAGAAATTTAATTATTGCAAAGGTAACTTATGTTATGTATGCTTTGAAATTTCATTTGTATGTATGTTGAGCACATTTAAGAAGTAAGCTTGAAGCCTGTTTACGTGGATTATAAGAATATGGTAAACTTAAGGTTTTAAATTTATATTGTTGATTTATTCTAAGGGGAATATTTCAAACTTCCCATGTACTGCGTGTCGGTGGACTCGACATAAGTTAGGTCTGTTGTTTGTATTAGAAGTGTACATATTACAATTAGTTTCGAGATATTTCATGATCAAGTATAAAATCATGAGTGACGAATCTCCATGATCCATCTTACCTTCTGGTATTCAGTTTCTGTTGATTGCACTCTGCACTGCAATCCGTTCTGTTCTCTTATATGACAGTGATATAACGGTTAAAAGTAGAAAATGGTAGGCGAATACAGGGTTTTGATTACAGGACTGCAGCTTCATATGGACTACTTGTGTGGACTTTGATCATGCTTTAGTGTGCTAAGCTTCTCTTGCATCTTGAAGGTCATCAAAATTGTCGTCCTAAACAGGTCGATGCAAGCAAATTAGTTGCACCTAACATTGTCGCTAAATACCACTCCAAGGTAGATTTAAGACTAGATACCGATCCTGCAGAAAGTGTAGATGAGCATTGGCTACACTTGCAAGACGCCATGAAAATGGCGAGAGAGAACGTCCGGCTAATAAACACTGGGTCTCTGCGAACTCCCTGCAACTTCTTAATGCCCTTCGGACCATTCTGGCGGATGATAATACAATGATTCGCGTGACTCTTACGCAAAAGATTTACACAACCCTTACGCGGGGTTATGGGGCTTGGTGCTCAAAACGCGCAAGTGAAATGGAAGCAGTAGCTGCATCTGGCAATAGTCGGAAGCTATCCCAGCTTATCCAAGTGACTGGGAGCAAGAAGCCTGGTCTCAGTGAGACGGTCTGTGAGGTAGAAGGTACGCCGGTAAACAATATTCAAAGACACCTGAAACTCTAGGCTCAGCACTTCGAAAGGCAATTTAGCTGGCCCACGGCTCCAGCATTGTCAGCTTCGGTTCATCGTGTCCACCTAACGAGGCGGAGGTCCATAAGAAACTCCAATTTTTGGAGTGTCACAAGGCACCCGGCTAAGACAACTTACCTCCGACTCTTTTTATGGAAAGAGGAATGACTAGTCAGGCAACTGACTAGACTATTTGAGAGGGTATGATAGACTGAGAGTGTTCCATCACTCTGGAATGAAGCTATTGTTTATAAAGGTGTAGGTGACCTGGTTGTGGTCTCTGAGATGATGGGAACAACTGGTTGAGGACTCTTGGTGGCATGACTGAAAGTCGGTCACAATGGCGCAGATGTATTCACTCCTTGACATCTTCCAAAGCTTAATTATTTGCACTAACCGTCATCTTCAGATTGTTTAGTCTCTCACACAACTTTGTCTCTACTTTGATATAACTTTCGATTCATCTGTTCTTTTTAAGCTGCTACTGTGATGTGTGGCAACTTGAGGTGATGCACTTGTGTATGCGAAGTTTTACATTGATTTTGCTCTGTATTGGACTCACGTATTCACTAGAAGGGACTAGTTTTAGTACATACACGGACATGCTGATTCTCTTTGCGAATTGAATTTGAATTAGAGTGAAATCCATTCAGTCACCTTGTGCACAGATTCGTCCAGTAGGCAATGATGGTAAATTGTTGTGAGAATACTAAGGTCGTTTTCAATGAGTAGGCAGCTATTGGAACAGGACAAGGTCACTTATCCGAAAAAAGCCTGCTGCCATCTCCATTCTGCCGTGAAAATATCGTAGAACACCGTAGCTGACCCTCAGATCTTAGCAGCTTCTGAGTTAAGAGGGTTCATCTGAACACATTCCTCCAGGTTCAGAAGACATTGGGAAGTGGAAACAACTCAAATGTAGGCTGACAAGTAGTGTTCACAATGATTGTCAACAGTGGTAGACAATAAAGACTTATGAGATGGAAAAGACAGAGGCGATAGGTAACAGTAAACAGCTATATGAACTGATCAAGGAAACGGGCACAGAAGTCAATAGTTAGTGAGAGCGTAGTAGAAAAGGATGGGTATGTGATTCACTCTCAGGGGAGACCATTAGAACAATAGGCGAAACACGTTTGAAAGCTATCTACCTAACCTTCAGCTAGTGTTTGGTTGCCTCTTATTCAGTCGGATGCTGAATGGAACACTGGGGTAAGCCCTCCACTTGTAAAAGTTGAGTAACCTGGAAACAGGAAGTCCAGCAGTGTCAGGTGTGCTAGTACCCGGAGATATTTAGGGACGGTGGTGAGGGCTGTTGGTTAGATTAACTGGAGTGTTAGCTAGAGTATAGCAATGCAGTATGGTCCCCCTCTGACTGATCTCACTCACTGTTTGCACCAGTCTTCAGAAAATGGGAGAAATCCTACTGTGATGACTACAGGGAAACCAGTCTGAACACAGTATCTAAGATTCTAGTTTCTATAATTAGACGTTTAAGTGAAGCTTGGGAACAATAATCCCGAGAAAACCAGGCAGGTTTCAGACCTAGTTCTGGGTATATCGCTCAAATCTTCACTCTTCACCATGTCTTAGATTAAAGATACTTATCTGCGTCCAGGACAACTTGCCTTTCTTGACCTGATGGCGTCATTTAATCCCATCGACTGAAACGTTACCGTGGTCCAGTTGAGCTGTGCTTCAAAGTGTTCCACCTGGCGCTTTAATCGCTTCTCCTAAAAGGTTGTCACATATTTATGCTTTTCGGTAATGTTTTCACTAACCGTCATCTTACCGGTATCCTTAATGAGCCTAAGCAGTTGCCGAGTCTTAACCACCGCTGATGCCTTCTCCATCTCACCACCGATCATTGCTCGCAGTCGACGCAAAGACTTTGTCAACTTCCGTTTGAGTTGCTTTCGCTCTTCATTGTGATCACAGGCAGCTGGAATCAATCTTCCCGCACCAGTCAGTTCGGATGCCGTCGTGGAAATCCAGCGACATTTACTTACCTTCAGGTGTAGGTTACCAATTGTCTTTACCGTGGCATTTCTTCAGGATGAGTATTGCTGTGAAGTTCAGACATCTGTTTAGCCATCTCCCTAGTTACGTACTTGGTGTCCTCATCGACCAATCAAGCACAGATAGGCCTCACTGCCTTCTGTTTCCTTCCACCAGTTAGGCGCTGACACACGCATACCTGTTCTAACTCGTGATTAAAGTTCAAAGACGTGCTGAAGAAAGAGCAACAATCCTCTTCAGATCTTTAATGTATCAGTATCGCTTGTTTTTGTCCATTGTTGGTTTGATGTCAGCGGTCACGTGAAGTGAAGTGAGTGGTGGCTAGAAACAAATGATTGTCAGAATAAAATTGGAAGAGAGTACTACCACTGCCAATCGCTTAGCATGGGATTTCATAGATACACTGAGTACATCCATGGCTCAAGAGTCTAGAGTTCTGAAGTTGAAAGTGTTAATTTGAAATTAACAGTAGACCCTTGGTGAATAAGAATGTTGTTCCTCTAGTTTGAATCCTTAGCAGTAGTTGTAGGGTAAGAAGTTGCAGAAGTTGTAAAAGGCTTAATATTATCAGGAAGGGAAGTCAGAAGAGGAAACAAAGGTAAGTAGAGTAAGTGTTATGATGCGGAGTTGTGAGAACGAACAGAAATACTTAACGATTGGTAGTCGACGATTGAGACGATCCAACCCGAGTGATTCACAAAGAGAAATCAAAAGACTGGAAACCAGATGACTTTATAATATCTCGAACTGAAGCGTTTATGAGTGAGAACTGACCCTATTTATAGAGTTTACAGCAACCTTGAAAGACAAGAAATCATCAGTACATTTAAAGAGGTAGGGACCAATCAGAACAATAGCAGGTCATTCGAAATATGGTCCATGCACGGGAAAAGAGAGAGAATAAGTAGTTCAAATATATATACAAAACTGTAAGTGTAGAATGTAAGAGATATTGGCATCCATAACAGTAAGTTATATCGCAGGAAGTGTGCGAGTAGTTAGTGCTTCCGGGCTGTACACACCGTAGAAGTTGTTTCTGCAACCCTAACTTTACCTAGAAGAGGGGAATGAATACTTTTTCATGACCGTAGAGGCCAAGAATCATCCGCTCGAAAACTGTTAGTCATAGCCTTTTTACGAATGCTGGATTGAGATCTCACTGTACTAACACTCGACAAAAAAGAAACCTATGCTGCCGGCATCGGAATATTTCAGATGGGGAGAGGCGTATATCATTTCGGGAGCAACCTTTTCTAACCCATCCTTTCCATTATAGCATAGCAGATAAAACTATAACGGTGACTGCTTTTTGTCTCACCACTATCCAACAGACCTTTCCGGTGGAGCACGACCTCAAGGGAACAAGCGTCCCACCGACATATCTCATTGGGTCATTGTGATATACAAGCCCCATCACCATGTCGGTGTTTTATTTTATCAGTCGAGCAAAATAACATCACAGCATTGAACAATGATTTTGAAGTCGAATCTTTAGATTTTGTGTTTTTTGTTACAGTTCACTATTTGCATAAAAGATTCCTCTATGCATTTTTAGGTTCCACATCATCTTACACGTTCATGGGACAACTTTCATTTGGAAATGCTTTTTATTATGGCCTTACTGATATACATCTTGAATTTTGTAATTGGTCGTTCTAAAAATACCCAGTTGGCAAGCAGTTGGTTCACTGTGCATCAATCTTTACTTGAAGCAAATTTTGCTGTGGTCGGTAGGTTATATGCAACTCTACACGAATTTTTTTCACGTTTCATTCAAATTATAAAACAACATACATGTTCTGTTTTTAGTTGGTTAGTTTAATGTTGTACTACTACTACTACTACTAACTAACTACTAACGTTTCGGGGACCCCTGCCAGGCATCTCCAAACGCAGGAACTTCATCGACCTGTTCCACGTCTTAGTCTGGTCATCCTCTTCCAACCTAATGCAAGTTCCCGTGACATAGCATTTCACGTCAAGGCGATTTAGAGGATGGTGGTTGGGCATGCGCATCTCATTTCCAAGCCATCTAAAGTTCACAGTTTCATTGACTGACGTGTCTTTCTTGCTTAGTACTGTTTACCTAACCTCGACGTTGCTCACACAGTGATTGCACCATACGTGACCAATGCTATCAGGACACCTTTGGTTAAAGACCTGTTACCACTTCTTATCTTTTAACGTCTAAATCTCACAGCTGCATATCACGAAAGAACGGTCTTCAGTGCACTGTACTCGTCTTTTGATGGATGGTCGGAGATAATGCAAGTTTACAAATGCTAAACGGGTCTTCCGTATCCAAGTTGTGTAGACCTCTGTGATTATTCAAAAGTTGATGTCTGTTGTTTTTATTCTTAGCGATGTATATATACTCGTTTCATACGCTTATTTCACTTAGTGTAATTGAATAACGCAATGAGAACATCTGTTAGCAGAATAACCCATACTGCTTGGATAGAAAGACTGTGGGGGCAGGGAGAAGTGTGCTGTTTTTAAAGTCGGCCTTTTCTACTCCCCTCCTCTTAGGGAAAGCAGCATCAGGGTGGCACTTCTGGTCATCCAAGAGCAACACCTTACTACTATCAATCCTCACCCAGCTCTAAGCAGTACGACTTCGCCCTCAGACCCCCATCATAGTGTAGCAATTTACAATTCAACAACAACTTTTCTTCCCACCTCTGTCCAACAGACCTTTCTGACATGGTAAAAGACCTCGAGGAAAGAAGCATTCCAGCTAGTATGGCTCGTTGGGTCATTGTGGCATACAAATCTCACCAACACGTCCACTTTGGTATCACTCTTTTCCTATTCATCCGTTCTCTGTATACTACTGTAAAGTGTGACAACTTGGACCGATATGATATATCGTATCGTTTCACACGAAATCACGGGTTGAATACAAACTGAATAAAAAAGTACGTAATCACTACAAATATTGATATCACCTTATATGGTGTGCGTTGAGATATCAGGCAGCTTGGAATCTCTTGCAGAAGTGCATCGATTCAAGTTGCTATACTATACATAAAGAACAAACAGGTAGTTGGCAAGGAGTGGTATTAAAGTGTATACGAGAAGAGAGAGAGGGGAGAAATAAACGAAGCTTAGTTAGTGGTCAAACCTTCAATGATGTCAAAGAGTAACGAAGAATACGTATTAGTTGGAGGAACATTGGAAACCTGGGAGTACTGGACAGCCACTATTTCGTCCCAGTATGGGACTCTTTAGAAGTGTGCACCAATGACTCCACCCCGCCAGGAATTGAACCCAAAACCTTCAGGTTCTGCAGCTAGCATGTTATCATTGAAATCAATAAATTCCCACAATCCTCCGAATTCAATTGGTCTAGTGCTTATTGGTGACTAGCTTCGAGACGTGATTCCTGAAGTTGCAGTGAGAAGTCGTGATTGGTAGGGCCAACCAAGTCGAAAATAATATCAGTCCATGATGACTACCAACCTGAAATCAGTAAATCCCCATAAACTTCTACCTTGTACACATTCATGCAGCAGATGGCAATGAAGGCTAGTGATACTACCTGTCTGTTTAAACGACCTTGGTAGGTGGGGCGTGGCTCGACTCCGTTACGCAACAGTAGTCATCTCACTATACGTCTGAGCCGTCGCGATCGACTTTTAGCCATACCATTAAGATTTCAGGTTGGTATTCGTCATGGACTGACATCAGTTGGAGAATCATTGGATGTCTGGGAGGATTTGACAGTTGCTTCGTCCCAGTTTGGGAACCCTAAGCATTCATGACCTCAGCCCCCCTCCCGAGGATCGAACCCAAGATCTTCGGGCTCTGCGGCCAACACGTTACCATTGAGGCACTGGGTCCAACGAGTCATACTTCTACTTCTGTCAGTTCACGATATAACTCCACTTTCACCCAGTGTCGTCGCTGAGTAACTATCCTCATACCGTACTTGATTGGCCCCATTGAGGGTGATGACATCACATTGGAAATTCAGAAATCTGATCTCGACGAAAATCATTAATTGGTTGCAACCATTGATTCCTTTTACGTTGAGGACCCCAGTCGATTAGTCTTAGCCTTCCGCATGTGGCGTACCTACTCCAGACCTTCAAGTCTGGTCACAGTTTCTCACCTCTATTGATTCATATTGTGGCGTGACTACCATCCATCAATGTCTCCCGGTTGGCATCCGCTTCATCTCCGACTGATTAGTCCTACAGGCGATTGATGTATTATATTGATGAACTGTTCAGCTGTATTAATATGTTGTACTGAGTGTTTTGTTTTATTGTTGCTTCATCTAGGAGATGATGGTCAAGCTGAACCTGGAAATGGAGCATTAATGAAGGAATCAGAACACTTGTATTCTCTTTGGTGTACCGGAACTGTACACTGTGATGCTATGCTGATTGAATTACGTCTAGTGAAACGTCAATGTTTATTTTTTGCAATAGCCAATTGGATTCGACCAGTTCATGATAGTATCGTAAGTTTCTGTATACTATCTCATCGACTTTTTTTGATTTTCAAAGGTTCTTTTCAAGGTTATTGGACAAAGAAACCCACTCCAAATCCACCAGTCCACTCCTTGACGTCTTCTAAAGCTTGGATATTTTAACTAAGCCTTATCTTCAAATTGCTTATTCTCACACAATTTTCTCTCCACTTTGAAATCACCTGTTCTTCGTAAGCTACTACTGTGAAGTGTGCCAACTTGACCGGATGTACTTGTGTGTGTGTGTGTGTGTGTGGTCCTACGTTGATTTTATCTGTTATATCCACCAAGTCCTCTCATTCGATAGCTTTAGAAGATATGCAGAAGAGTATTGGACAGACGTTGTAAGGTAACCTACCTCTGTAACCACATTTAATTCAGTACCGCCTCATCTAATTTATATGAGCTGACCGATTGTGTTGTTTCATATGTCCAAGAAGTTGTGAAGCTTTTTTTCCCCCCAACGCACACCAATGTCCAATGTATGAGTGCTGCTTTCGACTTACATGCCTTTCTGGAACATGATCTGTGAAGTCATCGACCTCTTTAGTGTCCGTAAGTGTGGTATGCACTTTTCACCATCGAACTGAAAAGTAGTTTTGCAAGATTGGAAGGAGCCTGTGCATGCGCTCACCCCCGGTGATGAGCCATTGGAAGCAGTCGAAAAGTTGTTGGTGTATCTGGGTGTTTGTATGAGTGAGTGCTGGTAGACGGACGTGTGAGTGGCGAGATTTTCTACTGCATATAGAAAGGCAGTGTGACATGCATCAATCTAGGTTACCTTTAGTGTCATCGCGGTGTTAGTCTGACTGTAAAAGGTCGGGTTTACAACAATTCAGTACGAGTAGTTCTGTGAACCTTGCCTCTCCGAGCTGAGGATGTGCGATCATCTTTGTCTCCGTAGGATTGCTCGTATCAGCTGGCAACACCAAGTAAGTAATTCTGAGGTGCGATAGGGTGTGTTTGGGCATGATAGATGTCATCATTCAGCAAGTCAAGTCAAGTCAAGTGATGTGGAAATACCGGCTTCGGTGGCTTTGACATGTGGTACACATTTCATGTCAACAGCTTCCACTCGGTTCATTGTTTGGTAACCATGGGACTGGATGGAATAAGAGGAGGTGTGGTGAGTGTATGACATGGTGTCGTGGGACGAAGGATAGTTGTATCGGTTTGGGATGTGTTGGTGTATCACGACTCGCTGCGTATTGTGTGGTGCGAGAGATGAGGCAACTTAGTGGTTTGAGATGTTGTGTGATATGTGTGAGGCTGAAGACTAGTGGGGGTAATGCTGTAGCTCCGTTCTATCTTCTGGTGGTGAAAAGTAGTGAATGTTTTGTTTCTTATGTATTTCAGTGGAGTGGCCTCCTAATCATGTTGTTTTTCCTTCTTACTTATCCACTTTGTTTCTCTTTATGTTTTCATAATGTTGTTATATTATTTTGTGTGTGGTGCATTTCTTGGTGTTCTTGCTGTACTGTGCTTGTATTCTAATAATAATAATAATAATAATAATAATAATAATAATAATAATAATAATAATAATAATAATAATAATAATAATAATAATAATAGTAATAATAATAATAATAATAATAATAACCACTAGCAAGTGTTAGTATGCGGTGTTGTGAAAAATGAACGATTAATAGTCGAGGGTTGAGACGGTTCAACCTGAGTGATTCGTAGAGTAAAATCAAAAGACTGGTATCTCGGACTGGAAACGTTTATTAGTGAAAACAGATCCTATTTATACAGTTTAAAGTTACATTGGAAGACAATGAATAATTAGTACATTTAAATAGACACAAGCCAATCAGCTAACAATAGCTGATCGTATGAAGTATGACCCATGGGCGGGAAAAAGCGCGCAAAGAAAAGCAATTCAAAGATATACAACTTGTAGGCATAGAATATGAAGGATATCGGGATCGTACCAATAACCTTCATGGGTGTAGCGCCTCGTTATCATGGGCAGGTATATTTTGATGCTTATGAACAATATACTCTATACTGTGAAAAGAGCCTGGATTTCGGCGAATTATTTGTGTGTGGGTTATGCAGACCATCATATGATGAAAGGTAGAAGTCAGAAACGGTGGAATCGTCTGTGGTCATTCGACAGCTTTAATGAGATATGAATTGAAGAACTTTTGTTTATATACCAGAAAAAGACTGGCAAACAATATAGTATGTGTTAGAAACGCAAAAATTATGTCAGAATGCAAAGAGTAACCATAGTTACTGAGACTACGTTGAATAGTAAAGGGCGTAGAAGCAATTAACACAATGAAAAGTGTTTTGCACTCCTAGGATTTTGAGATGATGGAGAATATTCGCACACACAAGCGCATCGGCTGAAGTTGCCACACTTCACAGAAGTACACAAACAACAGGTGGGTAGAAAAAAGGATATGAAAGTAGGGTAAGTTGTGTATAAAAGGACAAGCAATCTAAAGATAGCGGTTAGTGTGAATATTCAAGCTTTGAAAGATGTCAAGGAGTGAGGGCATCTACACCATTGTGACCGACTTTCTTTCATATCACCAGGGGTCTTCAACCACTGGTTCTCATCGTCTTGGAGACCCCAACCAGGCAGTCTACATCTCCCCCACACGGCTCGGACCAACATCGGAGAGGCTTCATCGACTGGCACAAGTGCCAGTGCCAACTTCCCCTAGCTGAGCACCTTGAGGTAGGTGGTGGGTTGGCATGTGCAGTAAGTGTCGAAGCCATCTTCGTCGGCTAAGGCTTACAACCTCATCGATAGACTTGCTCGTCTTGTCTAGTACCTTTCGCCTCATCTCAATATTGCTCACACGGTGATTCTATCACACGCAAGCAATGCTACGGAGCCATCTATGATCAAAATCCTACAACCGCTTCATATTGTCTACTTTTCACGGTCATATCTGACAAGTGTACAACAGGACAGAACGGACCGCAGTGTAATATACTCATGCTTTGATAGGATAGTCGGGTAAATCGCCGACGCCACAGGTGATGGGCTCATTGCCTACTACTGTACAAATGTACACAAAAAATTGTTGAGTGCATTTCCATTATTTTTTTTCCTTTCGTAGCGTTTAAAAAAAGAATTCCTGTGAATGCTTCTTATGCTATTGACTAGTGTTTCTATCGTCGACATTTCTTATTAATAATCATGTATAACTTACATTACTGTATTTTATCAACGTTCTCCATTCCTTGAAAGACCACAGATATGCATAAAGCATTTTCAATTGTCGTTTTCGCGCCAATAGTTGATTTCCCCTCCCCCTCATATTTTCAAGGTCATTCGTTGATTTGTTAATGCTTGCTTTTACTGTTAAAAATTCTGAACAAGATCGCATATTGCGTACATATATAAGCGTGTTTTTGGCTTACTTGACTATCAATCTCCTGAGAGACGATAAATTCATCTAGTTTAGTCTTCTCTGCATCGTTCCCGGGAGTTGGAATCGGTGGATCCTACGTATGAAGTTAGCTGTCAGTCAAGTGTACGCATTATAGATCCTCTCAGGAACATGACACCATCTAACGCGCACTAATCATTTTCACCACTCTTATGTGTATAGTATGTCTTTAATTATTCAGAAAAATCACTTTTTTATGTTGTTGTATAATCGTCTTTATATTATAGGTCGTCAAAGTAATAATGGATGATTCAGAAATGGATGGATGGGTTATGGCAGTTGGTCGTAAACGTCGTCTTCAGGCATTATCAAAAGATCATCAAGACTTAGCTGTCTACTGTCCAGATAAACGTGGTCAACGACATCAGTATCTACCGGAATCGTTTACTGTTTTAAGTGAAATTTCTGAAGTTGTACCAGCAATTCTTAACCCACTGGCAAGTTTATTAATAACCTTATGCCTACAGTAAATATTTACTTATTCTCTACTATGTTTAACGTCTATTATTGATATTAACCAGCTCATTGGTTTAAATCACGGGTTGATTAGTCAGCAGTTAATTGCATCGAATTTGACTGACTGAAGTTTTACCTAGTAGTCTGCTTTTAGCGCTGACTTGTCACATGACCTAGTACTAGACTGTCTTCATGATTCAGCTCAGAAGACATGAGAAGGTTTTAAGTGTTCAACTACTATTACCTTCGTAGCATAGGCCGTGGTTCGTGGTTCATCATATCAGTAACGCGGAGATCAGGTGTAGAGTTGAAGCGAGGTTATGAACCTTCATCGATTGAGATGGCTGAGATATATGTTGCGTATGCCTAGCCTGTCTAGTCTGCCTCTTGAAGCAATGTTAGCTGATGTAGGTTCAGACTAGAAAAAGGCTCAGGATGGCCAGACTAGAAGATGACATCAGTCCATGAATTCCTTGACCGTTGGTCTGAACCATGTAGGGAGACTAAAACCAACCAATCGGGGTCCAGTGGTTGCAGACTAGATGTTGTGGCCTTGAATCGATTTCAGTGGTGCAAATGTTTCCATACTTTATCTTTCTACTCCTTATGACCGATTTTCGTTTCTTTCTTTCTTCATCTTCATTTTATTGCCTTCTTTTTTCAATCATCACCCAGTATAAATAGTGATAAGACGAAAAGGAGTTACCATTATAGTGTAAATTGCTACGCTGTGTTGAAGGTTCAGGGGTGAAGCGGTACTGCTACCTAAATGGAGTGTGACTCCAGCATCATGCTAATGTTGCCTTCCCTATGGGAACGAAAGGTTACCAGAGATCAGGAGTAAAATTGTATGCACTACTCTTGTCTACATTTGCCTTTATATATTTCATCTTGATGCCTTCTTGCTTGACATGCTGATGTGATGAGCTGTGGCAGCTTGAATCGTTACTTAGCAAGGCGGGACGGGTTCTAGTCGTACTCCACCTACCAAGGTTTACTCAACGAGAGAGTATGATTAGCCGCCCCTCCATCGGGTTTGGCTTCTTGCCAACTGCATGAATATTGATAAGGTTACTGAGTGAACTTCGATTTCGACTCAGGAATGCCATATCCCATCGTCATGTTATCTCCCTGTCTGATTTTAGTGGGATTCGTTCAGCTGTTAAGTGATAGGTGAGTTACAAATGTGTGCAAGGAAATTGGTCCTATTAATATAAGTGTAAAACTTGGGCACTGTGGTCGAGTGTAATTCCATTTTAGTCTGTTTATTAGAAATATCACACAGTGAAACAGTAGTATTTACTGGATAACGTTCGGACATAATTTATTGTCCATATTCATACCTGATATGAATATGGACAATAAATTATGTCCGAACGTTATCCAGTAAATACTACTGTTTCACTATGTGATATTTCTAATAAACAGACTAAAATGAAATTGGTCCTAGTTGAAATATGATTTGTAAGCATATCAGCTTGCTAAAATCTACGGAGTTCACTCGATACGATATCAACATTTAGGCGTAGAAGGAAAGTGATCGTTAGGTTTTAACACCTTTTTTCTATCTTTTTTATTAACCAGTCCTCTAATCAATTATTGGATAAAAAAAGACTCATATACAGTAGACAAAGTCGAGTTAGTGAATAAACAATCTGAAAATGTCAAGGAGTGACTAAGAAATCCGCTGGATTGAAAATTATGACCGGAACAGGCTGGTTGGATTCAGAAAAAACAAGTAATGTGAGGATCAAATTACAACTTTACGCTACGCATCATCATAGAACAGAGCATGGAATGACAATCAACTGGATCTTTACCTCAACTTCATCAACTGTGAATAGGCCTTAAATCGACGCGTCGACCGAGAAGTAGTTTGGCGGGCAGCTGCTTCAACATTACGGTTTTAGTGTCACAATCATTTATCAACCTCACTGAACAGCAGCCATACGGTGACGATGATGCTACATACCAGGTGATTAACAATGGAAAGCCCAGTGATGCCTTTGAAGTAAAGACAGAAGTAAGACGAGACAAGGTTGCCCACTAACACCGATGATTTTCCTCATTGTGATCGACTGGACTGGACTGGATCATTCGAGAAACTGTGAGGAGCGAGAAGATGCGCATACGCTGTTTGACCTGTGGGAAGACCTTGGAAGATTTAGAAGTCGCCGATGATGATTTATGTCTAGTGTCGCATAAACTCGAAGATGTACAGGCAAAAACTAAGAAGTTGGTTGGGCATCGAAGACGGGACTTTAGGTGAACGTAGAGGAGACAGGTGATGAAAATACCCAACTAACAACAACAAACACGTATGATCAACAACGGGAGAAATTCAAATGAAATTTTCTCTTTCACCTATCCACCTACCTAGGCAGTGTCGTTTCAACTACAGGTAGCAGCGACACATATGAGGACGTCAAATCTAGCATCAGAAAGACAGCAAGACAGGCCTTCCTTAACCTGAAACCAATGTGGAGATCTACTGCACTACACTGCACTCAGCATAAACAACCAGATCTGAATTTTCAACACTAAGTCAGTCAAGTGAGTCAGTGCTTCTGTGTGATAGTTGAGAGACTTGGTGCGTTACAAAAAGCATTTCCAACAAACTACAGACATTCATCAACACCTGCCATCTACTCTCACTCCATACTGAAGATCAGATGAGAAGGGCAGAAAGAGTAAACAACAAGGAACTCTGGCCTGGAAACGAAGCAAGAAGCTATCGCCCAACAAATATGCAGAAGAAGAAAGTGGAGATGAGATGGATTGAATTGGACATACACTGAGAAGACCGTTTCTGGATATCATGCACCAGACTCAGTCGTCTAGTGGAACCGAGATCGGAAACGACGAGTTGGGCGTCCGAGGTGAGGGTGACATGGTGGATATCATGTGAGGAAGAAATGAGCGCTAGTTGTGATTTGTGGAGCCAGGTTCGAGATACTGCAGAGGAGAGAGTGAAATAGCGACGTTCTACTGAGGCCCTATGTTCCACTAGGAACCCAAGGGACAAAAGAATAACAAAATGTATTTGATTCTTCCTCAAAATTCCATTTATTCATTCACTTAATACTGCCGAAGCTAACTTGGCACTGTCACAGTTTTCATTCGAGCAACCCGAAATTCGCTATACAGCATAGTATGCTGTATGGTGGTGTATATTTCCGAACGTTCCACGAATAAGCCACTGCTCCGTGGCTAGATTCAGGTGCATCGCATATTAGGTGCAACACAATCTTGTTTACCTCACACTCAACCTTCTTCTTGATACTTTTTGGTACAGAGATTTGTGCAAGATTCCACACCAACATCCAATATATCCACGGGGATAGGCCGTTGAAACTCAGAGGTTGGTCCGAACCAGTTTAAGATTCGTACCCTCAGTTTCTTCGGGTTAAACATAACATGATACAGAGAGAGTGAGAGAGAGTAGTAATGACTGGTTTGTGGAATTTTAGTTTGTAGGATGAACTTCTTGTGAAATAAAACCTATGTATGATGAAACAGTGAATATCAATGTTTTCACTCAGAATTGTTTTTCCTTGACGAAAGGCGTTTATATATTTTTTTTGTAGGTTTGTAAATTTTTGACTGATCATGAGGAGTCAATTGACTATCTGTTCTTCTCTGATCAGTACAGTGGACCGAAACCCCCACAGGAGTAAGTCTGTCCATTTGCATGCAGAGAAGGTGAATCAACAATTTCCAAATGTTTTTACGTGTATTCATGTGTATGTGTACGTGTATACTTCTTTGTAGAAAAGTAAAATTCAGAGTGTTAAGCATTCACCTTCGGAAAGGTTGGTCTTGTAACCTTCAACTCCTTTGCTGCGGCCCAACGGTTGGTGGATTGCACTGTGTCGAAAGGTGACACTAGGGAGATGACAGCTAAATAAATAGGTTGTGGATGCCCTACGCATTAGAATTAAAGCTCTCTCACACAGTTAACTCAATTAGTTATCCGAGTTCAACCCGGTAGCAGTAGTATCACTTTGATTCTGAGGGTGATAGTTATTAGAAGTGTAAAGAGACCTACTGTGGTGATATGTCGCATTGATTTTGGGGAGATGATTGTGAGCCGATGGGTCGTTTGTTCGAACTCCGCTCCACTTACATTTGATATAATCTACCTACTGAGTTACCAAACTGAATCGTGCCAGTGACCATCGTTGTCTCACTAGGATTGCTCGTATCAGCTGGCAACACCAAGTAAGTAATTCTGAGGTGCAATAGGGTGTGTTTGGGCATGATAGATGTCATCATTCAGCAAGTCAAGTCAAGTCAAGTGATGTGGAAATACCGGCTTCGGTGGCTTTGACATGTGGTACACATTTCATGTCAACAGCTTCCACTCGGTTCATTGTTTGGTAACCATGGGACTGGATGGAATAAGAGGAGGTGTGGTGAGTGTATGACATGGTGTCGTGGGATGAAGGATAGTTGTATCGGTTTGGGATGTGTTGGTGTATCACGACTCGCTGCGTATTGTGTGGTGCGAGAGATGAGGCAACTTAGTGGTTTGAGATGTTGTGTGATATGTCTGAGGCTGAAGACTAGTGGGGGTAATGCTGTAGCTCCGTTCTATCTTCTGGTGGTGAAAAGTAGTGAATGTTTTGTTTCTTATGTATTTCAGTGGAGTGGCCTCCTAATCATGTTGTTTTTCCTTCTTACTTATCCACTTTGTTTCTCTTTATGTTTTCATAATGTTGTTATATTATTTTGTGTGTGGTGCATTTCTTGGTGTTCTTGCTGTACTGTGCTTGTGTTCTCATAGTAATGATAACGATAATAGCAGTAATAATGATAATAATGGTAGTAATATTAATAATGCACCTGCTTTAGTAAGTATAATGATCGACACATCCCCCCACTTCACTACCTCTTCTCGAACTTTGGGGTGCTTGCAGCAGCCCAATCCCGAAGCATCATCTTACATTTGACAGGTGCCAGTGAAATGCATGCTAAACATACTTCTCAACATGTTTAGAAGACTCTACATTTTATCACCGTTTTCGCTTAGCAACAGGACAATATCATCGGGATACTGTAAGTCAATCAGATGACTTCCGGGGAGTAGGTTAGTCCCTGTGAAGTCAGTTGTATCTAAGGCGATGTTCATTAGTACATGTCTATCATGAAGTTGGATGGGAACGCAATGAAACTGTACTATTTACTGGATAACATGTCGAATGTATTCATATCAAAGGGGTAACTTCACATCTGCATACTGTTTTTATACGCTATCAACTTGTTAACTAAAGTTATCCTTTACGTAAAAGAATTTTTCAGACATCTGATATAAATTTTAGATCACTCCTTTCGCCATGTATTCAATGTTGATTCGATGAACACAACTTCCGTTTCCAACTTCTCTCCCTCCGCCGAACTAAGTTTGGTTTCTTGGGGATTTTTTCTTTGTCCCATCTTATTGTATGATTATTTGTGATCGCGTACATCGTAATGGTTTGGATTTTCCGCTAGATCGCTTATTTAGGCCTATCATTCTAGGTGTGTCGTCAGATCGTTCTACTCATTCATTCCCATTGACCCTGGTCTCCTACTTTGACGCATATACTTGACCTCACATACTGGTTGCATGGGTGTTGGTAGTAACTAGGACTCTTATTGTGGCTGAATGGCCTTCCATAGTTATGTGCCAGTGCGTCAAGGTGAAGAAGATATACACGGCGCGGTTTAGGGGTATAGGTGTTTTTGGGTGCTTGCCAAAAAAGCTTGAGATGACATATGCTCCGGTGATTACTGGCCAAGTCTAGTTATGCAATGACGGTGAGCCTCCTTGCGGCCCCGCTGAATATCGATCCATGCAACGTCAAAATTGACTTAACGGTAATAGCACTCGACGAGATCTATGTGCACTGATCAATGGCGTGTTTCTCCAAAGCACAAGCGGCCCAGTTAACTGTCAGGATTTTGCCCAATGCTCTGGAAGCAGTGCAACCGAAAGGTAAGGGAATGCAGCATCCTAATTCCGACAGTCACAGATGTTGGAGTAGTCCTAAGTGGGATGGTATAGTTAGCGGTATTCGGTTCAGAATCGTGAGTTTTAAAGGTAGCCTGAAAGCAGCCTCTGGTTGTGAAGTTTTGGTGAGAGGGGAATAATCTCCCGGGAAGGTGAGCCACATCTTTTCTGTAAGATTGTGGAGACTTCAATGAGATGCATCCCACGCACATCTGGCCACGGGGAGGTTAATACAATCAACGATTCGACTATCGCGGAATGTGTGGATACATTGAAGCCCCACACTTGGGGTCGGGGGTGTGTGTGATTATATCCATTTGATTGATATTATTGAAAGACTATATGAACGAAGAATATTCTTTTTCTCAACAGACTCTCGTTAGGTATGTGGCAAATACATTTGCCAAAAGAGAATGCTAGCAGATCAAGGATGCAGTCGTGAAAGAAAATAAGCGTAGGAAAGAAAGATGACAACTAAGGGTGAGGAACGTAACCTCTAGTTTGTACCAGGTCAAGGGAGGAATAACCTCTCTAGACGTGTGTTGCCCTTCTAAGTTCACAGTTCCCATATAGTCAATCTCCTATATATGCCGTCCAATTGAATGAGTTTGTTTTTTCACTGACGTTAGGCATATGTGCTTCATTTCTCCAAGTATAAACAACTGCTTACGCTCGCTACTGAAGATGAGATGGCCAGAATAATAAGAATAAGCAACAAGGAGCTCTGGGAACGAACCAACCAAGAACCTATCACGCAGCAAATATGCAGGAGGAAGTGGAGATGGATTGGGCATGCACTGAGAATGCCGACTGAGGACATCACGCGTCAGGCCAGTCGCTCGAGTGGAATCCCCATGGGAAGCGACTAGTTGGGTGTCCGAGGTGAGGGTGACATGGAGGAGATCGTGAGAGGAGCAAATGAGAGGTTGTGGGCTGTCGTGGAACCAAGTTCAAAAGATCTCAGAGAACAGAGGTCACTGGAGACGTGCTACTGAAGCCCTATGTTCCATTAGGAACCCAAGGGACTAATAATAAAATAATAACAACCTTTTGTTATGTTTTTTTTATAAAATACTGATCTTTTCACTTTGTTTATATTTTTTCTACTTATCAAGGGATACAAATATACCTACGAAACCTCCAGTTACACAGAAAGCGTTAATTTTCGCTTTTCGATGTAAGTTTCTGTTTTACTTCCCCCTCCTCCCCCCTCCCACTCCATCCATTCAGAATTATTATTTACTATTACAAAGTGTATATTTTTCTTGGTATTCATGTTACACAGGTCAACACTTTTTCCATAAAATCTTTTATGGTTTCATTAGAATGAATCTTACACCAATTTAATCAATACTTGGACGTTTAGGTTCTGACTGACTGTCTCCGACGATGACGATGACTAAGGAATTTGCAAAATTCAAGTTGGTATTCATCATGAATTGACATCTTTTGGAACAAGATTGGACAGTTGACTTTTTCATTCTAGTATAGGATTCCTCAAAAGTGCTCATCCATGACTCACGTTATTCTCCTAGGAATATTGACGGTATCAAATGTGAAATCGAGAATGTATAAAAGGCTATGTCTGACATTTGAGAATGTCTGACTGGTTTGTTGGCTCAATAAACTGAATGTATAGTTGTATATTCATGTGGATAGTTAAGAGAACGAGAGTAAAAGAGTGATACTCAATAACCTAGAGGTAGATAGTTAGACAGATAGACCAAAATGAAATCTAGTGCAAAAGTGGATCGGTTCAAGTTGTTCAACTTCTAATAGCAACGTGGAAAAAAGAAAAGTGAATCGACAAAGGAGTAATATGGGAGTAAAGTAAAGTGTATGACATAGGTGAGTTAAAATAACCAGAATTTCAGCTAAGATTTCACTAAGATCTTCCAACTAATGATTTCCTATTACCTCAAGGACTCCAGACCAGGTAGTCTTAGCCTCCTTACTATACTCAAACAGATCGACAGTCGAAAACTTCATGGGTTGACATTACATCTTCTAACCCACTGTCGTCTTGATTGACAACACTCATCGAGGTAGATGACGGCTTGGCATACCCAATGTAAATCGTAAAAGGGTCTGCATCCTCATTAACTGACTTGTCTGTTATGACAGAGGTAGATTATATAATTTCAGGTAGTACTTCTTACGTTTCCAGCTTCGATGTAATATGGGTTTGTAAGTTTTGGTATTTTATGGAGTAAAATTGATATATTCCCCCTTTTTGTATATACGGTCGAATTGGATGGGTTTATTTTTTCGCTGTAGTTAGGCATGTGCCGCATTTTCGCAACTATGAAAGTGAGCCCATCACCTTTATCCCTAATTAAACGAAGGGTACTAGGCAAGATATGCCAACAAATCGATTAATGAAGTTGTGAGACTTAGTCGACTGAAATGGCTTGGATAAGTACTACACGTGCCAAGCCACCCCCTACCTCGAGGTAATTGGATTAGGTTGTAAGATAGACTTCAGGGTAACCAGACCAAGACGTTGTGACACTAGTCGGTGAAGTCTGTGACTTGGCCTGAGCCGTATGAGGAGATGTATACTACTTAACTGAGGTCCCCTGAGATGACAGGAATCAGTGGTTGAGGACTCTTCGTGATATGGCTGTGGAATCGGTGGAAGTGGCGCAGATTTATGCGCTGCTTGACATCTAACCATCATTTTCAAACTCCTTATTTTCCTACACAACTTCGTCCACCTGTTCTTTGTATGGTAGTGTGAAGAGTGGTAACTTGAGCCGATGTACCTATGTGCGTGATTTTACGCTGATTTTTTCAGGCAGTCAATCACCATTTGCCTCATGAGGACAATATTGTCTGAAGTCGCTCGTGTCTCGGAAAGGGTTAGGGGAGGGGTCAGACTATAATAACTGTGGTAACATCGGATAAAGCCTTTTGCTGTTGGTCTGAGCCGTGTAATTAGATGTAGCGTTGTGATTTCGGGTGTGCATGACAACAGAAACCAGCAGTTAGAGAGTCTAGACGACATGGCTGAGAATTGATCTAATTGGTACAGATGCATCCACACATTATCTGCATTTAAATCGTAGGGAATCTCAGTATTTTTTTTCATTCCTCCTTGGTGTATCTTGATGATTTTCCATCGCTTTTGACTGCTTTCTTCATTTCTTCTCGTGTCGTGTGATGTTATGATAGACAGTCAAACAAAGTCAGCCTAGAACCTCGCACACGAGTTCATCGGTTCAATTTGCCACACTTCTCAGTAGCATACAAAGAACAAGTCGACAAAGTTGTTTAGGAGAATTAGAAGTTTGTAGATGATGTTTAGGGCGAATCTTGAAGCTTTAGAAGATGTCTTTTTGACTGATTTCACTACCCTGTCACCGCGAGTACTCATGGAACTATTCTAGTAATTTTCTCACTATCCTCAAAATGGGAGCATATTCTGACCAGTCCCGGAGCATCACCTAACATTTGATAGGTGCCAGCGAAACGCATGCCAAACGTTCTCAGATTTCTGCTCCATGTGAGCACAAGATCCTACATTTTGTCAACGTCTTCACTTAGTAGGGTAATATCGTCTGCATACTTCAAGTCAATCAGATGACCTCCAAGGAGAACAGGTCAGTCCCTGTTAAAGTTGGATGTACTTAAGGTAATGTCTATGGCGAAGTTGAATAGTAACGGTAACAGTGGACATCCGTACGAGACGCCACTAATTATTGTCAACTTGCTTGACAGCTCTCAGTGACCCCTTACACGGCTGCATGAGTTCGAGTAGAGAGCTTTGATAAGTGTTATGTACTCGCTCGTTACTGTTTTCCCAGTCAAACACTACCTCACGGTTGGCTGAGTCGAGTCCCGCCTTCAGGTCAACAAATATAGCAAGTGTCGGCGATTGGCCGGTAGGCATGCCTGTATCCCAGAACTAGTCAGAGAGTGAAAATCTGATCGATATGCCTTCACGTATGTCTGCAACCCGCCTGGTTTCTTCGAGTTTGTTGTTCTCAATCTCCACTTGGGCATCAAATAGCTATGAACCCTAGGATCTTCGAGAAAATGTTAGTCAAACTAATCTTTTTAGACTTGAATGATCAGAGAAGTAGATCAGTCTAAAGGCACCACCTTTGATTCTCATACACTGTCTAGTACCTGCGTTACTTTAATTAACGATTTCCTACCTGCTTCCTTGAAAACTTCGGCTAGGAGCTATGGTAACTTGTAGCGCTACACAGTAAGCCCATGTCCTACTATCCTATGTTATTGTTGTCTGTCTTATCTCTTCGCTTCTTTAAAAGCACAATATTACTATGCATTGCCTATACGGTTTGTCTAATTTTTCTGTGTTTTTGAAAACTAGGTATTCCAACTGTTACATCAAAGTCTACATCCAAGCTGACGTCGAATGATGAAACAGTTAATCATCAACCGATGGAATCGAACACTGCTTTGTTCCATTTTATTTTCTATATGATAGAAAAAGTTCGAAGATTTCGTTTGAGTAAAGAGGTGAGTAGATTTACTTACTGGTTTATCTAATGTATGTTGTTAACTCAGTATTGATCAATCTCTGGACCTATAACCAACCTACTTAAATATAGTCATCTATTCACAGACGACTCAGCTTTACACCGTAATTAACGCCACTGTAATATCTGGAGGCCTCTGAAGGGTGGAGTTTACTACACTGCAGTTCACTCTTTTCTACAGTATGACTGTGGAACATGGCCATTAAACGTTGACTAGTGGGCAGTCGTGGTATCAGGTCCGAAAGACTGCAGAGAACAGAGTGGAATGGAGGTGTGCTACTGAAGCCCTATGTCCCACTAGGGACCCAAGGGAAAAATAATAATATAATAATAATAATAATCATTACTTTTGTGTGTTGGGGGTTTGTCGGCATGCCAGGAATGCAAGATTCTGGTGTATATAGCTATAGACACACAGTGTTTTGGTTAGTTGATGGAAATGGCTTTGTAGTGTGTGTTACGCCTGCCTAATTACCACCATCCTCCTCGTTGTGGCTAAGTGTGACATGAAGTAAGTGCAAACTGAAGAAAAATTAAAGGTAACCAAAGTTATTGTATTTTCCTCTTTTGACTCAACTTAGTGGTGTCCGCCTCCTTCATCACTGTTTCTGTTTAACTTCGTTAAAGACGTCTATTAATGAACATTGCTTTAGATGCATTAGCCTTCACTGGGATCGACCTACTCTCTGAAAGTCATTTAATTGATTTGGAATATGCAGACAATGTTATCCTACTGCTAAGTGAAGACGCTGATGCAATACAGGGTCTTCTTCACTTATTTGAGGAGTTGCATTAACCCGAATATTCGACTATCTACGAAAAGACGAGTTAACTACACTACTGTTTGTTGAATCACGTGAGAACCAGTGATATTACGTGGCTGTCCAACGCTGCACCGTTAGAAGATATGAAGCATTGGTCGCGTCTCGTGGAATCACCACATGAGCAATGTTATGTTCAGGTGAAGAGTACTAGGCAAAGTAGAAGTCGATTGGTGATGTTGTCAACCTTGGTCGGCTGTTAAGTGTGTGGAGAGATGTAGACGGCGGGTTTGATTGAAGTCTCCGAGGCATTTGAAATTACTGGTTGACAACTATTGCTTCAGGTGTAAAATCTGCTTGTTGTTGAACTCCAAGTTAGCGAAAATATTTGTCTAGACTAGTAATTACTTATGATCTGGTTTAACTTTCTCAGAATGCCTTATTTATCTTTATGTATTGTGTTGATTGACGAAATATAATTCAATAAAAACAAATAAGCAATAATAGTTATTGTAATAACAATTCGTTTATAATATTTATTATAAGGGTAAGGGTAAATCTGAAAGGAATAGACAACGAACCCATGACTCTCGCTTGAAATCGATGCATAGTCAACGTCAGGAGGCAGCTCAAAATCGTCGTGGTGAACGAATGAGGGCAGTCAAAGAGCGTATCATGGCTGAAGATGATCCTGATAAGGCTAGAAAACTTGAAGTAATCAATTTCCCTGTTTTCTTTTCTTACACGATAAAAGTTACAATGTACAGTTTAGTTTATTACTACTATAATATAAAGATGTTTAACAAATCGTGGTGATGTGTGTGATTGTAAAAGTTTGACTCTTAGATGAATTTCTTCTGTGTGCGTACCTTGCATGATTGGCTATCGAAATCTGCGGATCAATGTGAGTTGTTTCTAACTGGTATGTTTAACTATTTCAAGACCATCTTGTGTTTAACACGACACTGTTTGTTTTCCTGACTGATGAACCCTACTGATATTACAAATAAACAATTGAAAAAACTACTCAATTGTGGTAAATATCAATGTGGTTCGCTTGGTGAATGTTCGTGGTATATCGTAGACTCTTGACGTCCGACCGCAGTGGTGACTGAACGATTGTTAACGCTTTTGCCGCTATTCCTGCGTCCGATCCCTAGTAAGGATGTATATCGTATGTTAGTACAGTATGTGTCTTTTGCAAAAACATGTCTACAGCATTCATTACTGTGTAGTTGTTCACTATGAAGATGTCTTCTTTTAATTCACCTGGACATAACACTATTTTGAAAACAAAGCAATGGCAAGTGGATAAGTAAGAAAGAAGGAAAACAATAGGAGTAGCATGATTGGAAGGGCAGTCTAGTAAGGTACATTCGAAACGAAACATTCTTGAGTTTTTAGCAGGAGAAGGTAGAAGGAAGCTATAGCATAGCTGTCAACCATATCAGGTAACGTCTCAGGCCACTGAGTTGCGTGATCTCTCGGACCCCACTGAAGGAGTTGTGATGAACCAACAGATGCTAACCCGATATAATTATCCTTCATCTCACGGCTCTACGTCATACACTGATCACCCTTCCACCTCTTCCATCCAGTTCTGGGGCTAGCAAACAATGAATGGGATGGAATCCGTTGAGATGACATTCGTACCCGGACACACGCTGTCGTACCTCAGAATTACTAACATGTTGTTGCCAGCGAATACGAGCAATCCTACGGAGATGATCGAACACAGAGTCGTCGCATATCCTCAGCTTGGAAAGGCAAGATTTCACAGGCGTAGAGCAGAACTGCTAGCACCGAAGTGTTGTAAATTTGACGTTTTACGGTCAGACTAACGTCGTGACGGTGCTAAAGGTGACCATCATTGCCACACTGGCTTTCGGTATGCTGTAGGAAATTTTACCACTCACACCTCCTTCCACCAGCACTCATACACAAGTACACGAACTACTTCTCGACTACTTCCAACGGTTCATTACCGACTGTGAGGGCAGACACAGGCTCCTTCCAACCTTGCAAAAGTACCTTGCAGTTCGATGGTGTAAAGCATATATCATACTTACGGACACTAATCGCCAACTGATTAAGTGGGATTTGAATAGTCTATGTGTTACCACGCAGTGGGATAATATCGTCTGGATTTTCAAGGTCAAATAGCCATTCTACACTGCCGTCATCACTCAATTTGTTCAGAGCTGTCTGAAGAATGTCATCGATGGTATAGTTAAGAAGGAATATAGAAATTAGGCTTTGAGTGTTTGTCGGTTAATAATTGGTTCGAAGAAAGTTAAGAAAATAGACTTTTTAAAAGTATTTTTGATCTGTCTAGTAACAAAAGAAACTTCGAGTGTTTACTTTGTAAGATTTACTTAAATGTAACTTCCTCATTCATTCAATTCTTACAGTATTTTACCAGTAGATAGTCAGTTGTTAGCCACTGCACCATGTTATTGAAATCCACTTAACCTTCTACGTCTACTATAACAGCTTGTTAGCGTCTTCAGACATGATCATCACAAGGAAGAAAAGTAATGTAAATCCACTCATCTGCCTTGTTCTTATTTGTCTGTTAGGTTATAAGGCATATCTGTTGTATAAAGGCTAATGGTACTACCTATCTTGTTGCTATGACCTTCGTAGACTGAGCGCATTTCGAACCGGTGACACGTCCATTTTGTAAGTCGACTGTATATACTAATGAGCTACCTGTGGAAGTGATTATTGCGCAAATATTTAAAATATCTGCATAGATTATCCATATTGGACAGCTGTTTTGTTGTAGTGTCCACCCATGACCGCAGCCCGCCAGGGATCGAACTCGGGACGCTCAGGTTCCCTGACCTGCACGTACGTTACCATCGAATCCAATTGGAACCCCCTAAATTCAATTGATCTAGTGCTCATTGATGACTAGCTTCGAGAGGTGATTTCTGAAGTTCCAATGAGAAGTTGTGACCGGTGGGGCAAACCTTGGTGGACGTGAGGACAAATACTCAACGATGACATTGGGTGATAGTCGCGCTATATCGTGAACTGACAGAAGTTGGAAATATAGACAGTTGGATTACGACTCATTGGTTCAATGGTAATGTACTGGTCACGGAACCTGAGGGTAGTGAGTTCGATCCCTGGCTGTGCGAAGCGGGAGGGGGGTGGGTACGCACTGCTGAGTAGTCCCATACCAGGATGAAACAGCTGTCTTTCCAGTGCTCCCACGTTTCCAGTGTTCCTCCAACTGATGTCGTTCAGTCCATGGTGAATACCAACTTCAACAATTGTTAATTTCACTAATCTTCTTTCTTGAGCTTTATGCAGTTATAAATGCACGCGAATAGGTGATATACAATAGGCAGGGCAAGGTGTATAGTACAAAATTACTGCAATATCAAAACATTCAGTCAGTCAGTCAGTGCTGTGGATGAATAGAGGAGGTCGAGTCAAATGGATGCAAGTTTTTATTAATTAGGTGGAAATGTAATGAGTCTAGTGTGTATGTGTGTTTACTAAGCTGCGATGATTTCCGATTGTCTATTAAGGATCCTATTGGTGCAGAATAATCTTGTGTACCAAATACCTTGAAATGATTGCCAGGTTGATTAGAATAACAGAACACAAAAGCTTAACGAAATCAAGATTAGTAGATTCTAATAAGATAAGCAATTTTGAGATGAGCTCGGTTATGGCTGTGCATGCTATTGCACACACTCACACAATGGTAGGGTGGGATAGAGTGACAGTGTTAGAAATCAACTGAAATGGGTGGAGAGAGAGAGACTGATAACCGAATCTCTGTTCATCGAATCAGCATCAAATACATGCAGTAATAGAAATGATTCTTCACCTATCCTAGAAATATGGAAAATTCTACAAGCTTTGTCATGACAAAGGCGGAGAGAGGATTGGAATTATGTAAAGCATGTCTCGAAGTTGTGTAGTTAGTTACCCGATATGAATATGGTCAGTAGATTGTGTGTATGTGAGACATTGATGACAAACAGACCACAGTGCTCAAGTTTGACTCATATACCACCATATTGATCTTGGTTGCACGTCTAACACACTTGATTAATTGATAACTAAGACTTACATACATTTGACTTAACTTCCTCCATTCAGGGATAACACTGACTGACTGATTGTTTGCATTTTATATGCCTTACCTTGGCTATTATATATCACCTATTCTTATAGATTTATAACTGTATATAGCGTGGAGAAGTTTTTGAAGTCCGAATCGATGAATACTGAATCTGAGTGGGAACAACAGTAGTTGCTGGGGTGTACAGGTACACTCAACTGACAGGTTCTCGAAAGGAATCCCCTGGTAGCCGCTGTTCATCCTAATTTGACAATCATTTTAGAATTTCTTTGTTGTTACCTAATCACTTTATAGTATATTTATCTATTTATCACCTCTTGCTTATCTTTTTTTTGCTTCCTTCATTACAAGGAAAAGGAACAACGCAAAGAGAAAGCGAAAAAAATGCCGAGGATGAAAATGTTGAAGATGAAGTAGGTGGTCATTCGTTATGATTACATCGAGAAGTGAGCCAAGGAAAGTTTCACCAACCTGTGTGTATAGTCTACCTAGTCTTTTCTTGTTTTGTTCTATTTTGCCTTGTCTTTTCTGCTGTTTACTCCTTTTTTGAAATGTGTCCTGACAAGCACACACACGAAGCTAGTCAGTCAGACAATGTAGATCCTCGTTGTCACAGTATTTTCATCAATTCTACCTACAGTGACATTCACCTTTTTTGTATATGCTTGTTTAGCCGACTAGTTATTCGATGTGTATGTGTGTGTGTGTGTATGTGTGGTTGCGTAATTCTTCACATGTCTCATATAGTCAACATTCACTGATTCTTGTGTTTTATAACTTCATATTGGGTGGGACTCAGAGGGGGAGTATTTCCATTATGGATTCTGTTATTGGTGTATCTGTGTGTATTCAGCTAGTCATGTTGGGAGTTTTCTTTCTTTTCATCTATCAATTGCTGTGATTATTTTTATTATTATCGTTATTATTATTGATATCTTACTTTCTATCTATGTTCTCCTTTCCATGCCTCTCCCTCCTCTCCTGCGTCTCTGTCTCTTGTTCAATCAACTTTTGTGTACATAGGCAAAGAGACAAATGTTCCTCCCACTCTTGTACCATTACTACTACTACTACCACCACCACCACCACCACTGCTCAAGCAGTAAGTGAACTGGTGCTAACTACCCCCTTATCTTACCCTACTGACACTTGGACAATTATGCGGAATGTGAGTACCCATCATAATATTACTGTTGGTTTTAACATCTCTGTGTGTATGCGTCTGTGGGTATTCTTCATAATTTGATTAGTGTGGTACTAGCATTGTGTTAGTCAATTCATAAATTGTATTTTTTTGAAAAATTAATAATCGAAAAAGTAATCAAGAAGCCTATTTTGTTTTATCTTGAAGAATTTCCGTCAACGATTGATATACATTCAGGTGACATTGATGAAAATTGTTGGTTTTGATGTAGAAAGTTTGTGTAAACTAATATACCGCCGGTTGGTATGGCTCTGGAAACAGTTGGAAATCAACTTACACTAAGCTGCCAGTAGATGAGATGAACCTGATGGGGATTGGAGTCAGCAACCACTAGGTCGCTGCCCACAACTATCTTAGATAGTCAAAATAATCATCAATATGATGTTCTTGGTCTCTAATTCAAGCAGTTTCGGTTTTGATTAAGAAGTCCTGATTGCAGGCAATCAGTATGAGTACGATCGAGTGACAGTTACGCGGTACAGATATACACATGGTAGTCGTTAGGCCAAAACCCTAGGTGATTGAAGTGAAATAAAAATCTGGTCAGCAATCGGATTTTACAGCTCAGTTGGTAAAGCATCGGGCAGCAAACTAGTTGGTTGCTGGTTCCAATCCGACTTTGGTCCAAGTTTTAATTTCACCTTCAATAATCATCCAATATCAATGCGTAGATGACATGTTTACAGTGTTAGGATCGGTGCACTTACATATAAATTCAGTAGTCAACACAATCGAATTCATCTATGAATTAGAAAGTAGTGAAGGGGAATTAGTGATGTTGGATTGCAGAATACAACGGAAACAAGATGGAAGTGTAGACATTAATGTCTACAGAAAACCTTCACATTGAAAGCGTTACTTAGACTTCAAGTTGTTCAGTTATAGTTGGCTTAGTAAAGTGTCTAAGTAAGAGGACCAAAACACTGGTAAAAGAGGAGATGTAAGACAAGAAACCAGATGCATTAAAGATACCTTACTCATGAACCATTACCGTCTCAAATTAATTGATAAGTTCCTTAGGAATCATCAGAATAATACGACTAAAATTGTTAACGCATGTGTTAATAGTAGTAATAATAATGGTGATGATACTATACAGTATTACCATACGAAGAAGGCACCTCAGAAAAATGTTACGTATAATTTTCAATAAGGCTGGTTGGGATTAGAGTGCCATTTAAATCTACAAACTGACTTCGAAATAAGCTTTGTAGTTTACAACGATCCTATTGATCCATTTAGGTAGAATAATTTTGCTTACCGAATCGCTTGCAATGATGGTAAGATCAGAATAATGAACCACGAGTCATTTAATCATTTTGAACATAAAAACTTGACTACGTCAAAATTAGTAGGTCCTAGTAAGGTGAGGAAAACTGGATAAAAGCTCGGCCATTGCTATGCTTGCATTTACGCACAACCATACTATAGGATAGGACAGGAGGGAAATCCTTTAGAGTAATACAGCAAAGTGGAGATATAGATTGATAACTGAATCTTTTTATTATCAAGTTAACACTAAATACATTCAGCAAAAGGAAATACTAAGCACCTGTTTTGGATATATGGAGAATCCTACTACCCATATCATAGAAAGAGAGATTTGAACCATATAAACGATGTTTCCCAGTTGTGAAGTTATCTTGATATGACGACTATGGATTGTGGACGGAAACTGATCCAATTATACGGTCCTGTTTCACTTTGATGAATCTAACAAATAGTTAGTCCAAAATTAGTTTTCGTATGGGTATTCTTAACGTAGTTCAAGTTGGTACGTTAAACAACTGAAGTATTCTCATGTCTGTTGTTATTCTTTGTTCTCTGAAAGTGTCTTAGAGTTTTAATTTTTAGACGTGTTAATTCATTGTTACCATCGAATTTGAAGGATACGATCTTCTCTTCCCAACCATGTGTATATCTATGGATCTTTAATTCATCTTGACGTTTTGAATTAGATGCTCTTCGAGCTTCATTGACATGCTAAAACTAATGGTCTCTAGTAACTGCCTTTTTTAAGCACACTCAGGTCGTGTATGCGTATCGTTGGCTGCAGATTCCAGAGTTTTGGCGACCCATTGCCTGCTGTCCGATTTGGCCTGGGTTTCGGACATAGAAACCTTCAATATGATTGTTGATCTTGGAGTTATTCGACTAGTTCACCACCCTGTTGATAATTTTAGGTCTCGAGTCTTCATTTATTTCTACATACTCAACGTACGTTATGTCATGATAACTAGTGCTATTTGATATCAATTGTAGACTGTTTACGGCTGATGGAAGGCCGCGAGATAAAATGAGCTCACGCTTCATTCTGTAAATGTCTTTGTTCTTGAAATATTGAAATAAGGAAGTTTTGTGATGAAAATCAAGACAAGACGTTTTGCTAATGTTTCACTACAGCTTCATCAGTAAAATATTCGGAATTTTTTGAAATGTCATAATGGGTAAGACTGTAATCCAGGACAGGCGTTTCATGGTACCTACAACTTCTGAACTGGTTTTGTCTATTCCACAGTGAGTAGTTGTTGTTACTGAGAACCAGTTAATAATAATAATACTGGCTTTATTCTGAACGATATTTCGTGAATACTCTACAGCATTTTCCGCATGTCACCAGGCATCAATTGGACAGTAACAGTTTATATATTGTATGCACAATAAAGTTAATGGAAATTATATACAGAACGAAGTCAAGAATATTTACTCGATCCACAACCTTCTTTAGTGTTCAGAGTTGACTTAGGTAGACAAACACACGTAACAGTCATATTCAGCAGAATACATAGATAACAAATTGTGTACTCTTGAATACGCAATTCAGCGTAGTATTTTTTCAACAATCGATGAAAAAATAAACGCAGACGATAGAGGTGAATAAGCAACATGCAAGAGATTAGGAAACAGAAGAGAAGAGACTGAGTTATACCAGATACCTTCGCCTTCCTATTACGGTAAGTTAGGTGAAAGATTCTTTTTGAAATTAGTAAGATAATGGGAGGATCAAGAAACGTCACACACTTTTAACATTCCTCAATACACAGCCATCAATAGAAAAGGCATCATGAGTATGTTCGCATCTGAACCTTAAGTCTATTGTCTAACATTTTGAAGAACTAAGCACAACACTGTTGATAGTGGGTAATTGTCCAATCATTCATAGAAAAATCTTTTATTCCAGGAACAGTGTGATGAAGAGAGAGAGAAGTATGCAAACTGTCAGGTCATCGGGATATTTGGTCAAATTCATATTTTCCTCCAGAAAACAATTTTTTTAATAGTTCAGTAACATTGATGACGAAGATCATGTCATGATATGATGAAAATAGCATGCAAAAAGGTTGATCTTCGTACAATTAGAGCAAATCAGAAACCTAGCAAAATCAAAGTTGTATTACGATGAGACTTGGAGTGAATGAATAAATAAGGTCAGTAGAAGTACAGTGTCAGAGGTCCCACGTAATCAGTAACCATTCGTATTCGATTTTATCATAGACGTTCAAATGGGGATCTTCCTCTCATCATCTGACTACGCAGTAGAATTTTCCTTAAACCTTGAATATGCAGACTACAAAACCGTATTAGGTGAAGACGTTGACAACAAACAGAGTCTTCTGGACACCTTGAATGGGAATAGAGAGTGAAGTCGAACCAGCCCTGGTGGCCCACTGGTCAACGAAATCTCTGCGCGGATGCGAAAGACTCGATTGACTCCCACCTATGGCGCTGCCGTGATATCTGACTGTCTGTTAAGGGTCGAGTGTACTGTGTTACTATATACCTTTGAAACATGGCCATTGATGGTGGAGGACATGAGAAGGCTTCAGGTGTTTGACCACCGTTGCCTTCCAAGCATAGGTCGTATTTCTTGGTGCCAACATATGAGTAACTCAGAAGTCAGTGGTAGAGTTTTGGAAGAAGAGGTAAGACTTGATGCGACTGTGAACCTACATCGTCTGAGATGGCTAACTGGAACATGTGTTACATATGCTGTAGCGACCGTCTGCCTCGTAGCACAATGTTGGCCGAAGTAGAGGTTTTGACTGGAAAAAGGCTAGGTCTGGTCAGACTAAAACACGGCATTAGTGCATGAAGTCCTTGACTGTTCGTTTGAGTTATGTGGGGTGATACAGACTTGCTAGTTGGCGTCGACGGGACAAGAGAAATCAGTCATTGGAGACTTTAGATGATAAGACTCATAACTGATGTCAGTGGCACAGATGTATCCACACACACACTATCCTGACATTGACCGTTATACTTAATCTCATCATTTTCTTCTTGTCCCTTACTACTTTCTACTTCTGTTTGGTTTGACCGATTTTTTTCCCTTCATCTTCTATTTTATTGCTTTGTTACTTGATGTGAGGTGTGGCAAGTTAGACCGTTATGCAGTACCGCCTGGTCTTTTGTGGATTCTGGTGATAACATCGTCAATATCAAAGGATCACCCGTTACTGTCTAACGGTTCAAGTAGTTACATTTCATAACATCATATCAAACCAGAAACAGAAGTAGGTTCAAGCTTAAGAAAAGTAATCGGTGGCAAGTCTAAAACAAGACATCACTGTTTTAATTCTTTGGCTGTTGGTCTCAGACGTGTGGGGAAATGTAGACTTTGTTGTTGATAAACCTGTGGCAACTAGTGTTTGGAGAATCTAGATGATGATGTGAGTGGTGTGAATGTATCCACACATGACGAATTTCAGTATTTTCTTATTCCTTCTTCCTGTCGTTCACTGGTTTACACTACTTTTGTCTGACTTTTCTTCATTTGTTGGTACTTTATATTATTGACTTTTCACCTGATATAAGATATACCTACTTGGATAGCTATGAAGTAATCCCTGGTCCTGTGTTGATGTTTATACTGACACTGTTAGTCTAAGTGATGAAAACTAGTTCCTTTCTCCTCTCTGCCTATCAACTTGCTACATTTTGATTGATTATTATTATTATTTGTCCCATAGATTCCTTGTGGAATATAGGGCTTCAGTAGCACGCCTCCATTGCACTCTGTTCTCTGCGGTCTTTTTAATTTGATTCCATGACTGCTCAAAAGCTTTCATTTCTTTCTCACATCATCTTCTCCATGTAACTCTCAGACACCTAACTTATCGGTTT